CGAGGCGGGGCGGGGAAGACCAAACACACTGACGACACACACAAACACTCGGCGCGCGCGCGGCCGTGACTCAAACACCTGCAGAGAGGCGCGCCTCGCGACCAGCGGGACATACAGTTCCAGTCCAGACGGCTGACTAGTAAACCGTCCGACATCTTCACCTTTCAATATAGGAAGGTGACCCACGTCAAACCCCATCTCATGACAAAAATAAGATGAGTGTTGGGGCAAACCTGTCTAATGCAAGGGTTCGGGAGATTATTTATTGAACAAAAACAACGAATCACAGGGAAACAGGCGAAAGACCCATACTAATTGATGCAGAATTGGGTTACAATTTGATAAATAGTAGAGGAGTGTAACCCGCCGGAAACATGGCCTTCTTCGGCATGAACCAAACGGATACACTCTACTTGGGCTGTTTTAGATTAAGCGGTTAGAGCACATTTAGCAGATAAGCAGATGCTTTATGCATTTTTTGTAGTTTTGTGACCAAAATTATCACTTTTTTGTGAATATGTGATCACATAGATCGATCGATAGATCGATCTAAGAATTACCCGGCATCGCCAACCGTCCGGCAGAATTATAATTCGCGATTTTCCCCGAAAGTTCCCGCAAATAAGCGATTTTAAAATTTTTAATTTTTAACATTTTTTTAAAATGCCAAAGTTTTGGTATGAAAAATTGGGTTGAAAATTGACTACGTTTCCCCCAGTTTAATACCTCAGATATCGCCCTCGTCACGCCATCTTTAAGTAAATGACTATTTTTTTCAATGTCGCAGGTCGGAATTGTGCACACTACTAAGTAGTGCACCCACCTGCATCGCCATCGCCCCCTCTGTCAGCGTCAGGCGTCAGTCCCTCAGATACACATGTCAGAAAACTGTTCACTTTCTGATACTCAGAGAAAGAAGTCATTAGCTGTTCAAAAAGGCTTGTTGCCCACGGTTTTTTATCAGTTTCTTTAATCTAGCCCTAATGTTATTCAAATGTCTACGAAAGCCTGCTGTCACCCTGCTCCGAGTTGAGTTACTGTGTTGAATTACATATTGAGTTAGGGTAAGGTGCCCTAATGTGGCCACTGTCCATTGACGGCCACTTTTCTCGATTTCCAGCCAATCTGGTCACTTTACAATCTTGGCCTTGAAGTAGTGTTCTAGTAAGGTCCCTACTTAGGCATAATAAGACAAACTACTTCACATCTTTGTCTACATTACAAGAAAAAGGGGTGGCCATCATTGGGCAGGCCCATTCTTAAGGTGGCCATCATAGGGCATCTTACCCTACATTTGAGCAAAAGGTGGGTAGGACGGGAAAGAAGGGGGGGGGGAGCGAACCAGCTCCGATTTTGGTAAAACTGCGTACATCTGAAAGCCCCCCCCCCCCATACACACACACACACTAAGAGCTATATCAACCAAAGAATTTTGTCATTTTCACGCTTGCACTCACGCGGGCGTGAGCGGGCGAGCGGGTACCGTAAGCAAGCGGTGGAGTTCTGCGTCCCATTCTCAACTATGGATATAACAATAACGGTCGGGGTCTAGGGAAGGTCACAGGACACATTTCATTCAGTTTCATAGCTCAGGATGAGATAAAAGTGACAAATTAGCATCACACATTGTACACTCGAGCTAAAACTGCAATTCTAATGGAAATTCAGCATCGATTCAAGCTGAAAGAACCAGCAATACCATCAGGACAGAAATTTATAGTTTTCTGACGTGTACCCATATGTGTCCTAACTTTACGAACTTTGACGAGGGGTAACGAACAGTTGTCATAACTTTCACGCGAGCTTTCACGGTACTGTACGATTCTTAAAAAGCCAAGAACTTGAAGAGGCTACTGGGCTGTGACAAATGTAAAATATGCGGTAGTTGCTTTGACGTCAGCGTGGCCATGGAGAAGGAGGGCTGCAGAGTGTTCTCTTCTATCCCCGACAAGACAAGGTCACGGCCGTCAACATCGAGACGGGGCTGGGGGCTGGGCCGCTGGACCTGGACTGAAGGGATCGCTGGGCCGGGATCCCTTGGCACCGGGAGTGTTGGGACGGATGTCAATCACAGACCGACAGCCCGCACCCTCCTGCCCAGCCCACCCCAGCGCGTTCCAGTAACAACACAACAAACATCGTCCCAAATGTTTTTATTTCCACTGTAATCTGGACATAGTTTTGACACTTTTTCAATAACATTGAGTGGCTCGGAGTGGCCCATTCGCTCATACGGCGAATCAAAGCCACGTGAAGTTACGGGTCCCAGGTCCTACGGTAAACTCCCAAAAATTGATAGGCTGCTACACGTTGCGGGTGTAACCGAGAATACGCAGCAGTGTTGCGGGATTGCATACCCCATATGGGTGCAGGGGGCATGGCACCTTACGGATGCAAAGATTAGGCAAACCCGCAACATTGCTGCGTATTCATAGTTACACCCGGTACATAATGACGACGATATGGGTTTCAACGCTATGTTTTAACGCTATGTCCGAAGTCATTCATTAAAACATGGACACACTGGTAAAACAACAAAGGTAGGATATCCTAATTTTAAAAGGCACTAAAGCTCCAAAGGATGGCAGTTAATGTTTTTTCCGAAATATTTTGTTCCTATTTGGAATAAAATTGGATTCTAAGACCTATTTTCGTAGCCTGCCTGCCTACATGTGATGTGATGGGGTTCTGTTCAAAAATGGCACAAATTGATGGAATTTTTTTACGTTTTGACTTGCTTTTCATTTGCTGACTGCTTATCAGAACCCTATCACATGCTCGTGTAACGCGGAATTTTGCGACGAATGCGGCAATGTATCTTAAAATGTGATTATTGGTTTACTCATGAGTGGTTGCGAAAGTAAACTTTCCAGCCCACCACTTGTGAAATTACCTCTGAGGTGGGCAAGGTAATGCAGCCTTTCTCAACCCAAACGGTAAATTTGCAACCAGGGGGCAATGTTGCCTGTAAATTCACTTGCGTGGGCTTGTAAGTGGCTCTTTACCAGCCCACTGGGCATGTAAAGCCCCAATCCATGTGTTGCGAATTCCCGACCTACTGGACTGTAAAATCACTAATATTTTTTACGTCCAGAAAATATTTGGGAAAACTGAAAATACACACTTTCGCATCCCAAAAACGGGTTAATCGCCCCCGGAAAGATAGGATATCGCACCTTTAATTTTCCCAGAGCATGCTAGGCCAAGGGGCAGGAATGGTGGATTTATAGTCTCGTGTGACCCGTGTCTTCACGGTGAGGCGGCCTCACTGAGGGACGCTGGCCCAGACTCACCCTTGGATTCCCCCAGGAGGCCGGGTCAGTAACGTCAGACTGAGTTTTAAGAGTTCGAACAGGGCGAGACGGGCCAGGATAGGCCTCTCGAACACTGGTTCGTGCGCCAGCGACCTCTTGACCCCCCCCCCCCCCCCCCCCCCTTCCCCCCCCCCCCCCCGGGCCGGGGGGGGGGGGGGGGGGGGGGGGGGGGGGGGGGGGGGCGTATGGAGCTGGGCCGAGCCCAACCCTGGCGCCCTGGCCAGGCGCGCGCACTTCGGCTTCCCACATGAATAAGGGCACGGCAAAACTCCCTTTAGGATAGAAGGGAAGGGCGCAAGGTACGGTAAACTGATTGAACATAGAGAGGACGATATCCGCTTATCTATTCAACCCAAAACCAATAAAAGGGCGGGCGGAGAAAAAAAGTAAACAAAGAGGAAAAATTTCAAAATAAAGTTAAATTTAAGTGAAACAAACACAGAAAAAAATTGTCATGACATAAGTCGACAAAGAAAACACGAATATCGGCGTGCGTGATGTGACCCAGGTTGAAAACAAAAGTGAAATCCGAGCACAAGTCCGGGCCTTGCACTTGCACAGCATCACAAGCCGAGGTAGACGGCAAACATAACCTAACCTGTCCGCCTGCGAGATGTTCAAGGTTTTGGCGTCTCCCTGCGCGTCGTCTCTCAGACCCGGGACGGGTGCGACGGCGGCCTCGGGGCTCTCCGAGAGGAACGAGTACCGTCTGTGTTTGGGCGCGCGACCTAACCTCACCAGCGCCCGTCAGCGGGGCGCTAGCGCAGAACTCACCTTATTTCTGGGGGCTCCTCAGGCGTCGGCGGAGGCAGGAGCGCTGGCAGCGGCCTTCATGGCGTCCTCGGGGACGTCCCGGCCGAGCCCAGGGCCTAAACGGGGCCGCGGTGCAGCGGGGCGTCGGCGACAAGACTTGTAAACAAACACTGTGACAGGACACGGCCCTAAGCGGGGAGGGCCAGCGGAGCGGAGCGATCGCGCTTTCACCCGCCGCGACTTTTGCGTCGGGCGTCGCGGGCCGCGCGGGGCGGCGGGGGCGGACGGGCGCGAGCGACGAGACGGAGAAAGAACCAACCGTCCGGAGGGCGCTGCCGGCGACGGCGCGGGCCTGTCACCCGAAAAACCGCGACAAGTTTACGAATTGGCTGCGACGACAAGTGCGGGGCTAGCAGACTCCCTCCGCCGTCCGCCGCCTGCTAACTCTGGGCTCGGCGCACGCCGCGGTGGGGGGGTCGGCGCTGCCAACATACCGACAGCGGCGCGGCGCGCGGGGCGGGGCGGCCGTCACGGCGAGGGCGTGGGGCCGACTTCAAGCAAGGGGTCGTTAGACAAGAAACTCAAGTAAACAGGTACAAGTACGAAAGGCACAGATTAGTACAGGCACGAGGCAGCTGGCAGGAGGAGATGCATTTGCTGGAGGTTGCCGCGTCCGAATCTGCTGAAAAGAGCGCGAGATTTGAATCACAGTCTGAACACTCTGCCACACAAACTTCCAATCACAACAATAGACATTCTCAGTGCAAAAAAAAACTGCCCCAGTCTGCAAAATCAATCAGCTGAAACATGCACATTGCACAATAAACAATACACACACCAAACAAAAGACAAAATAGCAAAACGATCATGAACTTCACAAGCTCGTTCGAAGGGGAAGTATAATGGCTTAACGTTGAAGTTGCTGTCACTTACCGAGGCATGCGAAGACTTTCTAAATCCCCCGGAGGTTGTGGAGCTTGCAATGCTCTGAAACGCAAACAAAAAAAAATATTTTATTTAGAGCATTGAAACTCCTTATTCGCGACGATAGACGTCCATAGTAATATCACGAACAACCCGAGCGAGCCAAGAAGTGATAACAACGGAGGTGTAAAGCGATCGCTCTTAAGGTGTTATTCTGAGATGAACGAGCTGTTACGAAACAGCGCGCCGTACCAGTGTACTTTGGGTAAAGGAGAGGCAGAATCGGGCAGAACAGCGGTAGGCTAAGAACACAAAAAGGTTCCTTGTGCCTTATAAGCAGCCCCCACACTGGGGCATGTCGTAAAGGCGGGAAGTGATAAAGGATTATTGTAAATGTGCATATTTCTAAAAATAATTACATAAAGTGACCTGGAGCAGAGAAGCCTCTGTTCGACCGCGTTCTTGCAGCTAACTATGCGTGATGGGATATTGGCGCGATGAACTAATTTCTATCATGATCGGGAAGTAGCATCATCTCCCGGGGGCTTTATCAGATTATTATCCGGCAGCCAGGGTCGGCCACGGGGTAATCACTACTGGCAGAGTAATTAATTAATCGTCGGATAAGAAATCCAGAGAGGCCCTATGGCGACAGCGGCGACAGCCAAACCAAAGGGTTGGTGTGTTGCGCAAGGTAACTGGGAAGCTCGACGAAACCAACATTTATGCAAGAGCGGGCTCTCATTTCTCATTTGGTTTATACTTGCGGACTCTGGCCCCGTCCCCGGCCCTTTTGCACTCTCTAAAGTGTACAGGGTGTCCCACAGACACCTTTGCCTCCTTCATTTGGCTGACTTACGGTCACGGTACCGCTTGCTAGCGTGGAGGCGGGTTGCATGGTCGGACCGGGCCGGGAGGAGCCGTGGTGAGCGACGATAGGCAAGCCCGCCCGCACGTCTGCATGCGGTACAGCATGTGCAAACTAAAGGAGGGGGGACCACCCTATATGGATACATTCTACGTTTCTTAGAATTATGTTGGTGCACTTCGTTCTCACCAGGGTGGGCGACGAGCAGCGCGCGCCCATGTGTCTGCCTGGAGAGTGCGAAGCCCTGGAGCTGGGCCTGGAGTTGGGCCTGGAGCCGGGCCTAGAGCTGGGCCTGGAGTTGGGTCTGGAGCTGGGCCTGGAGTTGGGCCTGGAGCCGGCGGGCCAGCGCGCGGTCGGCGGCTGCGGGATGGAGGTGGGCAGCTGCAGGGGGTCGTTGAGCACGAGGCTGTACTCGGGGAAGTCCGGCTGCAGGGGCAGCGCCTGCGTGGCGCGCTCGCCGCACACGGTGCACTCGTACTCGTAGTCCGGGTGCAGCGGCAGGTCGCGGGGCTCGATGTGCTGGAACGGGTCCCTGCAGCTGGCGATGCTCGCCCTGCTGCCGGCCAGCGAGCGCGCGGCGCACGGCCCGCACCGCGGCACCACCACGCCGTGCTTGAGGCGGGGGTCCGAGTTGACGCGCGCCGACAGCCACAGCTCGCGGAGGTCGCGGAGGTCGTCGCCGTCCGGGTCGCTGAGGTGGAAGGGCAGCCCGCCCTGCAGCCCGCCCTGCAGCCCGCCCTGCAGCCCGCCCTGCAGCGCGGCCTGGAGCCCGCCGCGGAACAGGCCGCTCGGCTCCGCGAGATCCAGCGACAGGTGCCCGGGCGGCGCCACGGACAGCGGCCGCGGGGAAGTCTGTCGGCGGCCTAGGCTCCCGAAGTGGCGCAGTTGCTGTTGTTGCTGCTGCTGCTGTTGAAGCGGTTGCTGCTGTTGCTGGTGAAGCTGTTGTTGTAATTGTTGCTGCTGCTGGTGCTGTTGCTGTTGCGGGTGACCCGCCCCCGCTGACGGACACTGCGGGCACTGCGAGCTGAAGTGGCGGTACGGGCACTGAGGCACGTGCTTGTACGGGCAGTACGCGCCCACCGACCCGGAGCCCGAGGTGGAGCCGAAGCCTGACCCGGAGCCGGACCCGGAGTCGGAGGCGGACACGGGGATCTTGGCGTTGGCAGGGCCCGCTGTGCGGACGGGCGCCGCGCCGCGGGACAGGAGCTGCTGCTGCAGCAGGTGCGTGGCGCTCACGCGGGCGGCGCGAATCTGCTGGCCAGGCCCCACCCCGGGGCCGACCCCAGGGCCGGACGTGGAGAACGTCGCCGTCGTGGAGCTCGGGCCGGCCTTGGCGTCCTCACCCAGGGCGCTCGGAGTAGAGATGTCGTCCGCGAGGCGCTGCAGGTGCTGTTGCACCGACCCGCTGAGCGGCGTGAGCCTCTTGGGCGGCGGCGGAGGCGGCGGCTTCTTTGCGGCCTGGACGGGCACCCCGAACGTGCTGAGGCCGGGCGACGGCGGCAGTGGTGACGGGCTGGGAGTGGTGCTCACGCCACCCGCGTCCAGGGACAGCAGATGGTTGTTGTTGGCGAGGCCGGCGATGTTGTTGTTCACGCTGAGCGCGGGCGTGGGCAGCATGTCGTCGTCCGAGTCGCGCGACGAGCTTGACGAAGAGAAGGCGCTGCTCGTGTCGCCACCATCCTCGGTGTCGTCCGGGTCCGTACTGCTGTCGCGGCTGGCCCACGCCGCCGCGCCCACGCCGCGCGCCGCCCCCCCAGCCAGCCCCGCCGCCCCTAGCTCGGCCGGCTCGGCCCCCGCCAGCCCCGGGCAGCCACGCCGCAGGGGCAGGCTGCCGACCCCGTGGAACCACAGGGTGCCACCGTGTGTCACGCGCGGTGTGACACGGCGTGACGGGGCACCGTCACACGCGCCTCAAAGTCTGCTGCCCGCTGGGGGGCAGGTCCGCGTCGCACACGTCACGTATGACGAAAGATGATCGCCCACCTGAGGATCTTCCACGGCCCGGCCCGTTCGCAGCCGTCACCGTGACGGCCCCCTTTGTGACAACGGGGTGGGCGGGGCGCCGGGCGGGGGCTCAGCTCGGCACGGGCCGTCCCGTGGCGCAGGGGCGCGCGAGCGCAGGGGGGGCGCGGGGCGACGGCCGAGCGCCACTTTGAGGTTAACGGCGACCCGTCAGGTGCGGGCCGCGGTCAGCCCTCGCTCCGCGGCCAGGCGCTCCTCGGGGCGCGCGCACGCACTCGCACCCGGGCACTCACGGCGGCACGCACGACACGCGGGGGGCACCGCCCGCACACCACGGCTTTTGTTTACACTCCGCGCTCCGCTCCGCTCGGGACCTCTTCAACTCATTACGTCCCTGCCAGCTCCGGGGGTGGCTATAGCGGCGCCACCAGGGGGCGTCCTGGCGCGCGGCCGGGGCTCCGGGGGGAGAGAGGGGCGGGGGGAGCCTGGAGCGAGCAGCGAGCGCTGGAGCACGGGCGCGACGCTGATCGAGGGGGCGGCCGGCCGGGGGGTGGAACGAGGGGGGGAAGGGGCACGGCGATCGAAGACGGACGACAGGGGGGTGGCTGGTGGCCCGCTGCTGCTTGCTGGCCGAGCCTGTCCCGGCCGTCTGACGGGAGATGGGAGAGAGGGGGTGGATGTGGGGCGGGCGGACACACCTATGTGGCTGCTGCTGCTGCAGCTTGCCAACGTCATTCCCCCCTCCCTCCGGAAAATAAAGTAAAATCCACTTCCCGGCGCTGCCAGTGACAGCTGGCTCCCTCCCATAGCGCTAGACCATGTTTTCGGCTTCCGGAAACTCGACGGGAAACCAATTTTCAGCAGTCGACAGTCCCCGGCTTGTGTCCCGGGGGGCTCATACTCTTGGTAAACAGGTCAGCGGATGAAGTCAGAGGCAGAAAGCAAGGGTAATTGCAATTGCAAAACAAGGAACTTCAAGTTTAAAACAATTTAATAATTCTTCACTAAAAATAATCAGTGCCAACAAGGGCAGGCACAACATAGCACAGTAAAAAACATTCTTTGTATAGGTATTCATTTTAGAAAATCACAAGTGCTAACAAAATTCAATTGATGGCGTTTGACCATACAGTATGAAACACTCAGTTCATTTCATTGGAACATGAAGGCGATCATTACAGTAATTACAACCACACATGGTTTGAGGTCATGAAGTAGTTATTTGTCTTGAAATTAATTCAATGACAGTCACAGTAACGTAGACACTGAGTATGGTAGCAACTGAAGAAGCAGCATACGGCAGCAGACGTTCGTAGATGGTTGAGCTATAGAAGTCAATGCAGAGAGCCAACATTAAGTTGAGGTACGTTGTCTTCAGGAGCTTGGATGATTGGCATCAAATAGATGTTGACGACGTTCTTCATTTGTTGAGCTTGAATGCCTTGCTGCATAAGAGGATGATAAAAGCATCAGATATCATTCTCTAACAACCTGAAACAGACTTACTGGAAACCTGAAAAAAATACATAGGGAGGGGAAACAAAAAGGGAGGGAGGAAAGCACATTCACACACATTCATTCACTGACATTCACCATGTGCAACCAGCACATGAACACACACACACACACGTTCATGCAAACACTTGAGAGTTGCAATACACAGTAGGGGAGCAGACAACCTCAACTATGCAGTCTATACCCAAACATACTACGTTCACTTCTAAACCTCATTCATAAATTTACATCTGAAACTTGATAATAAGCCTCTAGAATGTAAGTGAACTATATACACAAGAGCCAGAACTGTGTACGATGAGGATTCTTGCAAACAGTACAAGTCACACAAAGTTAAAAACAAATTGCACAAAAGGACAACTAACATTCTTTATACCCCAAACTAAAGAACCGAATTTTTGCTTGCCACTTTAAAGACTTGGCCTGTCAAATGGTGGAAGGGGGGAGAAGATGAAATGAGGGGGGGAAAAGGCCTCACTGATATGAAAAATTAAAAATTACACTAAAAGAGCCTATCAGAGGGAAAGGAGATTTGTCTGTGTTAAAGATGAAACCAAAACCGACCATTTATAGCTGGGCAGCCAAACTAAAGGTGGGAGAGCCGCCTGCCATTGATTCAAACATGTTGAGCCCTGATAATCATCTTCAACCAAGAAGAATTCAGATGCAGTCGTCAGTGACCATTTCTTTTCTTCCCTTCACTCAATCTGGAGTGGTCATTATTTGTCTTTGCTCCCTCGTCGCCTGTCCTTCCTGTCCCGTTCGCGCTCGCGGTCGCGGTCCCGGTCGCGCTCACGCTCGCGATCGCGGTCCCGCTCCCTTTCTCTGTCTCGGTCTCGGTCGCGACCCCCAGGGCCGCCGGGTCCCCCGAGCCCTCCGGGCCCCCCGGGCCCCCGCTGCATGTTCCGCTCGTGCGCTCGACGCATCTCCGCGCGCAGGCGCTCGTGCTCAGCCATGTGCTTGCGGCGCATCTCCTCTTTTTCTGAAATCTGGAAACGAGGAAAGCTGTTACATAGAGTCAGCACTAAAGTGGGAAACGGTGGCTGGGGATAGAGAGTGGAGTGAACTTACTTGTTGAGGAGTGAGCGGCAACCAATAAATACAGGGGGTTGTCTTAGTTTTCCGGAATAAGTCATCAAGGAGCTTAGCGGGGGCAGGTTCTTCATTTCGTTTGGCTTTGCGAGCTGGAGTGAAACAAAGATAAAGTGTGAAAGGCAGTCGTGGATAAATGTGTTACAGTCTTGAAAAATACAACAGATGACATTACCTGGGCCCTCATGAGACGGGGACACTGAGCGCTTTTCTCTTCTAACCCGTCTATCATCGTCTTTCTTTTTCCTATCTTCTTGAACAGATTCCCTCAGCTCTGAGGACTGATCGGCAACTTTTCCAAGATCCCATTCCCGCACAGATTGAACAATCTATTAAGACAGAAAGAGAGACATATTGTAACCCATAGTCAACGATTGGAAAGCTTGCAAGTACATAAGAAGGTGATGCAACCATACCTTGACCCTCTCTTCAGAATCTTTTCTTTCTCTATGAGTGTCACTAACATGTTGAGATTTTCTGGAAATAACTGGTTCCCCTACAGTTTCAGCTTGTGCTCTTAACATGTCCTCCTTTTTGGCAAATTCCACATGTAACGCTTTGCGGTTGGAGATTGGCCAGTGAACTTCATGCAGTGCATGCCTTGTTTCAACAGCCTGATCCTCATCTTCATACTGTAACAATTTTTTGGTTTGATTTAATTACAGAATTTGAAGGAATTTGAAAATGTGGATTAAGGGACAAGGAATTAATAAGTTAAGTTTTGCCTACCTCAACATAGCATTGTGATTTAATGCCATTAATCCAGAAGCCTCCCTCAACAATTTTACCAGTTCGTGATAGAAGTTCCCTCAATTGACCAATAGTGAAAGGTCTCACTAAATTTGTTATGTAAAGAACAGTTGAAGTTCGATGTTTTGATAATGTAGGTGACTTTGTTCTTGTGGCCATTGAACCCTCACTTGCAACAGATATTTTGCGCTCAATTTTTCTTTCTGGAAAGATCAACAATTTGGTCAGCACTAACCAAGATGACAGAAAACTCCAGAATAAAATAATTTCCTACCTTCAACTTCCATAGAGGTATGAACAACAATTCGTGTATTTTCTGGTAAAGGAACACTAGGTGGTGGGAGAGGACGATCTACCAACAGTTTATCTTTACTTCTGTCTCGCTTAGAGGGTCTTTCATCTTCGTCATTAACTTCTCCTTCCTCAAAAGCTAGATGAACTTCACTTTCTGCAACTGGTTTGGCATCTGGAATAAGATTCTGAGGGGGAAAAAACACAGTTTCAGTGAAATCGAAGACTTGACAAATTTGGGGAGTCACATGAACAGAAAAATAGCACTTACCTTGAGGGGATCTGATGATATACATAGCACAGACTTTTTGATGCTTTTACAAGAGCCCCATCGGCGCTTGCGAGCCACTGGCTGCTCTACAGGTTTAGTTTCTGGCTCAGGAGTGGGGGTAGAAGATGAATTCTCCTACAAAATCAGAGATAAAATATATTCATGGCACACAGTCCACAAAACAAGATAAAGGAAGAAAACATAATAGAACAGAGAGGATTACCTTGTTTTCCCCAACCAATATTTCTCCAGGAGGTGCCTCAGCTTCTGATGTCGGTGATGAATCTTTGTCCTCTTTCTCCTCAGATATGGATCTGAAAGATAAAATATTTTGTAATTTATTTAACAATATTTTAAACGGCTATAAGCATTTGAGAGTTGATTCATTTTTGCTGCAAAACTCAAGTAAGATAATTTCATGTCTAAGGACTGAATCATTTCTTACACATTTCTCTTCAAAGAAACCTTCCCTTTCTGTTCTACAGAAGGCAAAGGTTTCCTACGCAGCCTTGTTGGTGGAGCTGGTGCCTCTTCCTTCACAGGTTCAGGTTTAACTGTATCCTTATGAACTTTTTTATCTTCTTCCTTGCCTGTAGACCGACGCTTAACCTGAATTTTCTTTGAAGACTGGTCATCACTATCTTTGCTCAAACTCCTTTTCTTTTGTCGAATTACTGGTCTTTCAGAATCCGAATCTGAACTAGAGCTTTGGCTAGAAGAAGCACTGCTTGATCTTCGTCGACTTCTACAACGAGAAAAAAATATAGATAACAATTTTGAAGACACAATGAAACAATAAAGTCAGTACTGCAAGTGCTAAATATTAAGTGATATACCTTCTCTTATGAGGTTTCTCCACTGGCTTTGCTTCCACTGCTTCATCCTCAGCCATTTCTGGATCTGGTTCAACTGGTGACCCAGGAGCTAGGTCCATCACTGGTTCGTCATCTGATTGGTCATCTTCAACAGGAATCTGAGCTGTTGGAGCTGGTACCTTTGATGAGGCAGTTTTCTCCTCTAATTTAGGCTTCTCAGGTTCAACTTTTTGGTCACTCTTAGAACTTGATTTTTCTCCAATTTTACTAACAGCTATTTGACTGCTTGAAGACTTGTTTTCTTCAGATGACTTCCGTGCATCAGTTTCACTTCCCTTCGTCAGAGTAGCTGATGCAACCTTTAATGGTTCTTTCAGAACAACTTTGTCAGTCACAATCGTCTCTTTAACAGCTTTCACTGGTAAACTGTCATCTTTAGCCACAGCAATTGATCTGGTCTGCGCAGTTGCTTTGTCTGCATCGTCAGTTTTTAAAACACTTTGTTGTTTAACAGTATCTTTCGGTAAAGCCTCTTCTGGAACAGGTTTCTCTTTCAATGCTGGTGTGAGTTTTTCCTCAACCGGAAGTGCATGTTTCTCCACAGTTACAGGTGCAAGTTTGACTACAACCACTGGCTTGGGTTCCTCCACAACTACTGGTTGAGGTTTCTTCTCAACCACTGGTTCTGGTTTCTTCTCAACCACTGGTTCCGGTTTCTTCTCAACCACTGGTTCCGGTTTCTTCTCAACTACTGGATCCGGTTTCTTTTCAACCACTGGTTCAGGTTTCTTCTCAACCACAGGTTCGTGTTTCTTCTCAACCACTGGTTCGGGTTTCTTCTCAACCACTGGTTCAGGTTTCTTCTCCACCACTGGTTCAGGTTTCTTCTCCACCACTGGTTCAGGTTTCAACCACAGGTTCGTGTTTCTTCTCAACCACTGGTTCGGGTTTCTTCTCAACCACTGGTTCAGGTTTCTTCTCCACCACTGGTTCAGGTTTCTTCTCCACCACTGGTTCAGGTTTTTCAGCAACCGCTGCGGCAGGTTTCTCGGCAACCGCTGGGGCAGGCTTTCTTACCGGCGCAGACAGTGTTTTCTCGTCTACTGTTGACAGTACGGCTTTTTCAGTTTCGTCCTTTGAAGCACCTGGTTTGGCACCCGATCCTCCATCCTTATGTTTGTCCAAGGGCCTGACCGATAGGACTTCCACTTTATAAGATGCTGCTTTGGAGCTAGTATCATCAACAAGAGTATGTGGTTCATTACTATCTGCATCTGATTTGTCAACTTCAGGAGAGGAGGCCTCCTCATCAGGCTCTTCAGATGATTTAGAGGGAACAGAAACTGGACCTGCATCATCTGCCATTTCTGAGGGTAAATCAACAGAATTACCTTCCTCAGATATTTCTGAGGCAGCAGCAGAATCTTCTTTATTGTCATCCCTGATGATCTGAACATCATCATCATCATCATCTTCTTCCTCCTCCTCTTCATCTTTTTCTTCTGCATCTTTAGAGTCTTCATCTTCATTTTCTTCAACAGGCTCTGTTTCAGCTTTGTCAGGTGTGGATGCTCGTGACTTTTCTGAGGACGAAGAGGAGGTAGTTGAAGAAGATGATGAGGACGATGATGAAGAAGTTTCAGTTCCTTTAGATTCCACTTCAACACGTCTAGCTGCTCGTGCTTTGCCTGTTAAACCAGATGAATCGGGCTCTGGTGTTGGACTTGGTTGCGCAACAGCTTCTTCTACTACAGTGCTCATCACTGAATCTCGAGCCCCTCTGAGAAGAAATGAGTGAAAAAAGTTTAAGTAACTTTACAGTCAACAAAATTACATCACACAAAAATGCAAAAACTAGCATACCTTCTCTTACGAGGGGAGGGAGCTTCTACCTGGTCAATTGGTCCAGAACGGCATAATTTCAGTTTGGCAATGCCAGTGCCCGATCCATTGGAATTTTGGACTTTCCAAACAGTACTTGAGTCCTGGAGAGAAAAAAAACAAAAACAAAAACAAAAAACTGTATTAAAAAATCTGGTCCTGGAATGACATGGGATCAAATAAGATTTACATACGGCTTCAGTCTCATTCGATCCATTTGAATCACGGTCAGCATTGTTGTCAGCATCAGTGTCAACATTCACCTCTACAGGTTTGACTTCTTCAACCGCTGGTTCCAGTCTGCGTGAGGATCTTCGAGTGCGACTTCCACCAGGTGTGCTCGGGACTGGTCTCTCCTCTGGAGGTGGAGCTGCTCTTCGCTGCAAAAAAGTAATAGGATGAGATAAAGTGAATGAACATGATATAGCAAGTAATTGGACCAACTGCACTTACCGATTTTGGTGTAGGCATGACCTCCTCCTCAGATTCCGAATCTTGCTCAGATGAAGACTCAGATTTCTTGCGCCGCCTAGTTCTTGTTGGTCGAGGTGCAGGTGGAGCATCATCGCTATCAGCCTTTTTGGCTCTGGTTCGAGTGGATACCCTCCGCATTGTCAAGACTAAACAGAAACACAAGAGTTGATTTTGAGAGATACTCTGATTCCACAGGCACCTGACAACATGAAGTAAACATTAGAATACAGGTCAAAGAAGTGTCACAAGAAAAGGTGGTGTGAACACAAGATGAATTTTAAAATAAATCCCAGAGAGCCAAAACAAAAATTTATCAAGCACCTTCAGAAAAACAATACAAAAAAACGACAGACTCGAAATAATGCACAACCAAACCAGAAAACAAAAGGCAATCAATAAGATAACCTCACATTAAAGGTCCATTTTCATAGAAAATATATTTACGTGGGTTACCGAGACCAAGATGGACACGGGCGAATTGAAGATAACTAACAAAGACCGGTAATATAATTCGTAGGGTACAAAAATCAGAATTTAACGAACGTCAATTAAATGTTAGGCAGGGGCAACTGTACGCGTCGCGACGCAAGAAAAGTGCAAAACAACTCCAGAAGCAGTTACTTACGCTGTGTTTATTGCTAATGTAAACGCCACGACGCAGTACGGAAAATAAACACGGAAAAAAGATGAGCGGCCGAGCTAACTTCAATGCATCCTCAAAAGAAGGTTTTTTCCCCTGTACAATACTCAAAACTGGATGAAGTCAATTTCCACCTCCGACCGATTCCGAATCCAAAGCAATGAATCCAAAACCGGGTCCTGCGCCTTGTATGGTGATGGTGGCGGCAAGGTTCTGAACCTCTGTAAATATTTCTTAAAGAAACGTCTGCTCAACGAAGCGTTACTTTGGTTCGCGATCTTTCGATAGGGTGTGACTACACATACTTCTCACAGACAAGGGTAAATGCAATTGCAGAAAATTGAATACATTAGCAAAAAACGTCGGTAAACTTTTAATGTCACCGCCCCTTACAGCGCCTGGTCGCTTTGGCTTTGAACAGAATCCAGTTCTGCCAACACTCCAAAATTATATTTCCGTAAATGTCAAATTGCTAACATGGATTTTAGTGTGTCAATGCTAATTATATGTTGTTCTTAATAGTTGTAATACTTTTCAATACCTATTTTCAACTTCTGTTTTGGACTATTGCCGCTCACCCTCAAATCTCTTTGTCAACGTCCCCCTAATGGCATGACTGTCTAAAGCAGTACACTGAGTACACTTGTGAAAATGTTATCGAATTTTGTTGTAACCTACATTTTAGTATTATTTATTTAGTATTTTATTCAAAATACCGTGTTGAATTGAGTGTATGATGGCTCTAGGACCAGGTTCTCTCACCTCTGATATTAGTAGACGAAACCCTCAAGATGAATATGAACTTATTCAGAGGATTGGGAGTGGTACCTATGGGGACGTGTATAAGGTAGGCACGACTTGTAGGCTATTGGTTTGCACTATCTCAAGACAAGTTCTCTCTGTGGTGCTATTTAGTTCTTATTTGCTATATTAAATTATTTGTCAGTAATCTGACACAAATTAATGTTCGAGAAATCCTCAGTTTATATTTTGAGTCTTATACAGCAACATCTGTAGCCTACAGAGGATAATTGGAGCTCTTTGTTTCCGCCTTCTTTCTAAATTGTCCAAGCTGTTTATATTGTATTGAATCTTGACTCAACAATCTTGAGGCACTGACCTGAAGATCCTCAACCTCACACTTGACTCTGACATATCTCCATTCACTCTCATCCATAACTATCATTGTCAGTTTGTCACTCATTCAAAACTACATTATTTACTTCTGCTGCAATGTCACTGGCGTGCCTGCATATTCCTGAAATTTATTTCATCCCTTATAATTTAAGAGCCTTAACAAAAATTGAAAAAAAATTTTTGTTCAGTTAGCATATAAATTTTATTTGTAAACATCTGGGGCCATATTTTCTGCCTTCTGTAATTAAAGTGGTCGTTGTGCTGGAAAAGTTTTCGTCGGAACTGTTCTGAAGACTGATTTTATTACCCAATTTATCTGTTTGTTCTAATCAAGTTAAAATTTGTAGGCCAAGCAACTGTCCACTAATGAGTATGCTGCCATCAAAGTCATCAAACTGGAACCAGGTATGTAATTTTGTATTTCGTTGGCTTGTGTAATTGAGTTGTGAATTAATACATGAGGTTTTCTTTTGCAGGGGATGATTTTGCAGTCATCCAACAAGAAATTTTGATGATGAAAGATTGCCGGCATCCTAACATAATTGCTTATTTTGGAAGCTATCTTAGAAGAGATAAATTATGGATTTGCATGGAATTTTGTGGGGGTGGGTCCTTGCAAGACATATATCATAGTAAGTAATTCTGCATAGTATTTTTATTGTTTTTGCATGGTTTGTTTCAAAGACAGTACAGATTAAGGAATATTCCTTGTATAACATTTATTTTTGATTAGAATAACTTTTTGTGCTAGCATTTTGTGGAATGTTATACTGTTCTTTTACTTGTATGGTACAGTGTGTCATGAACTTTGTCTCTGGAGGTCTGGGAAAATGATTAAAATGCACTAACTTATTTTTTATCCTCTCACTTGTAGTAACAGGACCACTTACTGAACTTCAAATTGCATTCATGTGTAGAGAAACACTTCATGGTCTGGCTTATCTCCATGGAATGGGCAAAATGCATAGGGATATTAAGGTAATTTTGATGCTGACGTTTCGAGCATGGTTTAATCTCTTCATTTATCTGTACTTTGTAAAAGTGCACTGATAACTGGCATGTTTGTTATCATGTCATTGTAACAATTGATCAATTTAAAAAGTAATTAGGTATGTAATCTGTCAATATATCAGCGTTCAAAAATAAATGTTTTCTTTTTCTAGGGTGCAAATATTCTTTTAACGGAAGATGGTGATGTAAAGTTAGCCGATTTTGGAGTATCAGCGCAAATCACTGCAACAATAAACAAAAGAAAGTCCTTCATTGGGACTCCGTACTGGATGGCACCTGAGGTGGCGGCTGTCGAGCGGAAAGGAGGCTACAATCAGCTTTGTGATATTTGGGCCACAGGTATCACAGCCATTGAATTAGCTGAGCTCCAACCCCCCATGTTTGACTTGCATCCAATGCGAGCCTTATTTCTTATGAGCAAGTCAGGATTTAAACCACCTGCTCTCAAGGATCGTGACAAGTGGAGCCCCACTTTTCACAACTTTGTGAAAACTGCTCTCACCAAAAATCCGAAGAAGAGGCCCACAGCTGACAAATTGCTTCAGGTTGCTGCCAGAATTCTGTTTTTGTGTTTGTTGAATCTTGATAAGATTCATGTTTCTTCATTTTTCCATTTGTTTTAATTTCCTTTAAAAATTCCTTTTTTAGCATGCCTTTTTTCAAGCTGAAATGACAAAGAGACTAGCTTTAGAATTACTCCAGAAAGTAAATAATCCATCGCATATGTTCTCTGAAATGGAAGCTGATGAAGATGGCGTAAGTTGCCCCATAACTTTAGTGTTAAAAATTCAGATCTTTTCATATTTTTTTGTGTGTGACATATTTGTATTTTGTTTTTAGGCTATACCCAATGTACCTCAACGAATTGCATCCAGGCACACAGCTCGAGCTAAAAGGAGACTCCCATCACATCTTGCAGGTATGTAATGTCTGTTAAAAGCATTAAGGTTGTTCTATTGTGGTTTATTTTTTTTCAACTAAAGTAATTTTGATATTCTACACATGTACTATTCATTTGATCAGGGAATGCTGAGGTCCCCCTGAACCAACAACCTTCCTCATCTAGATATACTGATTGGGATGAGATTGATGTATTAGACACGTTTGATGTGAGTAAGGTTTTCTACATATTTTTTCAGCTTGACTCACTTAATTGCCATGCATAAATATTTTTTTGTTTTTCCTTCAGAATGATCCTGACTGTGATACAAGTGCTGAGTGGTCCAAAGGAAATCTTTATGAGGGGGGAAGTGAAAAGTGAGTACAGATTAATGAAGTTATATAACATACTGGTTAGTTGTTTTTTTTGTTTGTTTTTTCTCTCATGATAGGGCCCCTTATGTTGTTCATTGAACTGTGCCTCTTAAAGTTTTATAATACATAAATTAATTCACTTGACAGAGACATTTTTAAATTGTTATGTGTCTACATTTTGGTAAAATATGACGGATTTTGTTTTGATATTATGGTTCAATGGCCATCTTACCAATTTCCTTACTCCTCAAGATGTGAATAATGCATGCACAATTGTTGCCGCTATCCTGGATGAAAGTGCTCCCTCCTTGTTGTCAAAAGTCTCGGATATGTGCACTGGCTGGTGTTGATGACACAATGCGTGCATGCTCCTTGACTGCTTCAACCAGAATCTGAACTATACCAAAATTCACATGAATCTTGAGCAATTTTTCATCTTTCCAAACTATCCAATTAGTACTTGACTCAAAATTTTACTATAAATCCCACAATTGTAAAATTTTGAAGTGATATCTAATTTATTTTGAGCGTGGCTTTTCTTTTGAGGTTTTAGTATCAATTATACCAAAACGTTGTTCACAGAGGTTATAAAAATACTTCTATATGTCAGGATTTTCATTTTAAATTGAATCATCATGTTGAACATGATTCAGCTCAAGCATCTTGCAGTTTACTATTTCCCTTTGAATTTAAATCTGATCTAATAATTCCTTTCATGTGCTTTTTACATTGGTTATGTGGTGGAGTATGTTATATGTTGCTGTGGATTGGTCTGCTTCGCTTACTATGCATTCAGATCTTTTGTACAATGGTCATCTTTCTCATTTATACAGTACCTCTCACATTTACCCTCCCCAACACTCTTCCCTCTCTTCCGGCAGCTTATCAAACAGGTGTGTTTATTTACAATTTTTGTTGCCTGGACTTTTAGCTCATGGTGTTGCTCTTGAATTTAAAAGAATCTTCTTAGTGTTGTGCATGTGCATGTTTATCATACCTACTGTGAGTAGCTGCTTTGCTGTGACATCATGGTTGTCAAGATGTGTTAACATAACTGTAGTGTATTTCAAAGATTGGTTTGCTTTTAATTTTTGAGATGAGTGGCAGTTGAGGACTATCTGGTTGTACATCTAGGATCAGTTTCCAGTCAGCAAGGGCTCTTGTGGAACAGTATGCAGATAGGCAGATAGGCCATGGCTGCATGTGCCTGAAGCCTCACCTTCCGTGCAGCGGTGCAGCTCTCTTTCAAATGACTTTAAGGTACCTTGTGTTCTAGGGTTGAGAGTGTGGTGGTTTTCTTCATGAAGAGCTTCCTAATGTGTGGAATTGTTGTAAAGAAATTAATCTATATTATGCAAAATTGTTATGATCTGTCAAACAACGATATAACTGGTTTGGTCTGTCTCTCAAATTATTGTAACTGATAGGATTGCATTATCTTTCAGTTTCTATGTTAATTATAAATTTGTAGTGCTTTTAGTGTAGTATAAGACTCAGCATATTTGTGCAAACTTACTCCTCTGTTGCTGTTTTGGCTTTATTCTTTTGTTAAGCTTGAAGTGGACGATGCTTTGGTGCACGCACATCCGGGCTGTCCACTTTGCATTAGCAGAAAATCAGGAAGCCTCATCAGCACCAAAAGGGCTGTTAGTTAGCATTGATGATATGAATGTTTTATATTTGTGTTAATACGGCAGATTGGGACTCTGACTTTGTTTTAAAAACTCTTAATTTCTTTTCTTTTCTCTAGAAGCAAAGTAAAATCATTTCTAAGTGCTTAACATGATGTGTTTGCTTGCCCCTGTGTGTGTGGTCCTTCAAACATACAGGTGTCTGTCAATGACTAGTGTAGTTAAATAGTCTCTGCATGTGCATGTTCATTCTTGACTGTATTTCACTCTGGATGTTGCTATGATGTGTTGCCACAGGAACTACACATTATAAAATGTGTAATTACCTGTCAGTTTTGATTTTCTTGTTGCAACAACATCTGCTGACTTTGCTTTGAAGATCTTGTAACCTATGCACCACAATCAAACAAAGTACTGTACTTAAAGAATTGATGGTTTGTTAAAATTTTAAGGATATGTAACTCCTGTTTGAATTAACCCCCACCCTTTATTGTTGTTAGAAAATGACATGTCAGCGATTTTATCAGCTGATGTGTACAATTTGTTTGGTTTCAACCATGAGTTTTTTTTTCATGTCGCGCAGGACCTTGCTGCAGTACATAGATGAAGAACTTGTTATGAGGTAGTGTATCAATTAGTCGCTACATTTTACTCACAAATGTGGAAATAATCTACGTATTTTGGCATGAACATTTAGTCAACTGTTTAGCATTTGTCCAGACAAGTTTTTAGGCCCTGCTTGTGTTTCTGTATATTATTGAAAAGTTGTTTTAAATAGATTTTTGAGAAGATTTTTCTGTTTATTTTCGTTGTATTTGGATTGATGATACATAAATCTTTCTTCTTTTATAAATTACTAATCTTTTAACAAGGATGGTTAAAACTTATTTGTTTATGCTGAGCTCAATTTGCATGTGGTAGGCAAGATATTATGCATGACAATGGCATACATTTGTTTGATTGTGAATTTTGGTCAACATCAATTGGACTAGATTTACATGTGCAAACTGACAGCCTTGGCAATTGATTTCTGTTGGTAGGGGGAACTCCCCATACATGCTGTCTGCACAGGATGAGCAGTTTTATTTGCAGTAAGTAGCAGAAAATGTTAGCCTAATTCATCTAGGTTACCTATTGAATCATTTGTAAGTTTAAAACCATACCCGACTGCTAACTGTTCATTGAAAGAAAAAAAGGAAGGGAGAAAGAAAGAAAGAAAGAACATTCTCACTCTTTTTGGAAAACTTATTTCTCAACACAACATAAGTTTTGAATTAATTAAGCTCTGTTTTTTTGTGTTTATGTCTACTCAGCATTAAATCAGCATAATATTTTTCCTCCTGCTTTCTCTAGTAGTTTTATTATCTCTTGTGAATTTTGTAAATATTAATCTTTTAACCTTAAATATATTGTAGGTATTTTACACTGTACAATTTTTGCTGCAGTATACTATAGCTCACAATTTTTATATTTTTCTCAACATGCTATTATATATCTTGTGCATCTACTTGATTGCTTCATTTTATCATCATTAGTTGAATGGAGAAACGCATTTGGTACATGCCAGGCTGCTTACTGTGTTTTTCGATGTGTGTATGTGTGTGTGTGTACTTGCATGCGCACTTCATTCTATTGTATTTTGTGTTTTCATTTCAGTGTTCTGTAGTAAAATTGTCATTGTTTTTCTGACGAGAATTTTAATATCTAGTATGATTGATGAGTTATCCTCCTATTTCAGAGCCACTCTTCCCATGGGTGAAACTTCCACATCTGGCCAATACAATCAAAATTTTAGCTCTACTGGTAAGCTCTAATCCTAGCAAACATTTAATTCTTAAAAACTTTCAATGGGTGAATGTTAATGTGGAGCATTTTTTTTTTTTTTTTTTTTTTTTTTTTTTTTTTTTTTTTTTTTTTACTTTTATCTTGTAGGAACTGGTGGATCCCCTCGGCGTCACAGCTCAGTAGATGAAATATTAGGTCTTACTGCAACTTTGACTTTAAATGGACAGAGACAGCGGTCACTTAGTGATAGTAGAGCAACAGAAAAGAATGCAGTAAATGGTAAGGTTTTGGTTTAATTTTTTACAAAAGAAGATTGTTCATGAGTGTGATAGCACTGGGTTTGTTTTTTTTCCCTAGGAGATGGGGATGTTGTTAGTTCTAGTGCAGAACCTGATCTGTTGTCTGATACCCCCCCTGTCCCTCCTCGAAGAAGGGATAAAAAAAGACACACACCTCCAAGACCTGCAAGCAATGGTCTACCTCCAACTCCAAAAGTTCATATGGGGGCTTGTTTCTCTAAGGTATGCCACTATATGCTTAACACATTAACTGCCAAGCCTTTTGTAAATCACGTCATTCCACATCAGTGAGATTGTATGGCACAGAACTTGTTAATTAAGCAACTTGTACAATGTAGTTCCAACAAAATATTGTTTACAGGTATTCAACTGCTGTCCTCTTAGAATTCATTGCACTGCAAGCTGGATACATCCTGACACAAGAGATCAACACATTCTTATTGGAGCAGAAGAAGGAATTTATAATTTGAATCTTAATGAGCTTCATGAAACAGCCATAGATCAGTTGTATCCAAGGCGCACTACATGGATGTATGTCATTAAGGATGTACTCATGTCACTTTCAGGTAGGTGGTGATATCAGTGACTATGGACGAGTTACATGTTACATCTAATTGCTGAAACCATATTTTTAATATACTTTCATTTGAAAACTTCAGGAAAAACACCCCAACTGTACCGCCATGACCTTCTGGCTCTCCATGGCAAGCAGTCTCACAGATTTTCAATGCACGTTAATAAAATCCCTGAGCGGCTGGTCCCGCGTAAGTTTGCATTAACTACGAAAGTCCCTGACACCAAAGGCTGTAGTAGGTGTTGTGTTGGGAGGAACCCTTACAATGGATACAAATATCTTTGTGGTGCCTCACCCACTGGTATATTTCTAATGCAGTGGTATGACCCTCTAAACAAATTTATGCTACTTAAGGTGAGTAAGTGGGGTTTGGACATTTTTTTTGGTCTTATCTTTTAAACCAACTTAACGCTCTCTTCTGATTCAATTTATGTAGCACTGTGAATGCCCGTTGCCATCCCCTTTGTCTGTTTTTGAAATGATTATCACTCCTGAAATGGAATATCCAATGGTGTGTGTAAGTGTGAAACAAGGGTACCAGGCGGACCGTCTTAAGTTAGATCTCATAAATATGAATTCAGGATCGAGCTGGTTCCACAGCGACGAACTGGAGGATATTGATGGAGCCGGTAGGTAACCTTATTATAGGTTGTGACAATTTTTCAGTTTAATGTCACCATCATCCACTAAAAAACCTCTTTCTGTTTTAGCTACTGTGATTCCCAGGCGAGAAAATATTAATATTGTTCATGTTACTCAGCTTGATAAAGATGCAATTCTTGTGTGTTATGGCAGTAAGTAGTTCCCCAAATTTTCTCAGTACAGTTCATTTAATCCATTAGAACACTTTATTTTTTATTTTTTATTTTTTATTTTTTATTTTTATCTTCAGGCACTGTTAAAATTGTCACACTTCAAGGAAAGCTCAGAAGTAGTCGAAAGCAGGTCTCTGAGCTTAACTTTAGTTTCCGTGTGCAATCTATAGGTAAGGATTATAAGTTTTTTAATTTCAAACCACTGTATGTTTGTTTTTTTAAATTATTCAAAGTACAGTACTTTTTTCTATTTTAAATCTTTGAATTTTTATTTTTTATTTTTTTTGCAGTTTGTCTTCCAGACAGTGTGCTTGCATTCCACAAACATGGTATGACTGGTCGCAGTCTTAAAAATGGGGAAATCACCCAAGAAATCAATGACCTCAGCCGAGTTTATAGATTATTAGGCAGTGACAAGTAAGCTCGGGTTCCATCCCATTTTTGAATATCTTAACTTTGTTTTGTCTATGTATCTGGTTTTGTAACTTTTTTTTTACTTTCACAATTCTAGAGCGGTAATGCTGGAAAGTCAACTGAGCAGTGATGTTTCAAGAGGAGGTACACTTACAGAACCCGAAGGAATGGATCTGTACATCCTTGCAGGCCATGAGGCAAGCTACTGAGTGGAGGAATTGACACAGTGGACTACTATTAATGGATCATTGAGTGCAGAGAAGGAATATTCTCACAGCAGATATGAATCTGCCAAATGTCTATGCCAAAGAATTGTACTTGTTGTACAGTACTTCGTACTTCTACTTTAGGAACTTGTGTGGAGCTACTGGTTTGATAGCTCTTGAAACTGGTCTGCTCAAAGGAAGAAAGAAGTATTATTTTAAATCGACTGATATACCTCTAGGAGCTTTTTTTAAGCCTAGGCTGCAGCCTCAACTCATAAGACTTGTATGGCTTCATTTTGACAGTGGTCACCGCACTCAAAGCCACACTTTGTTGTGTGTACTTGCCAATCACTTAGAAATTTCCGATTTGATTGTATTTGTTTTCAGTCCCCTAAAAAACAAAATGATAAAAATATCAGCAAATGGAGATTAACAAAATGCAAATTTACTCACACTTGTTTTCTAAGTCAAGAAGCTCAATATGCATAACTAAGCAAGTGTGTCCTTATTTGATGTATGAGAGCCATTTTATTTTCTTACTGTGCTTTTAAAAATCTTTAAAATGGAATGACAATACTCAAAGCTTTACTGTTGGTGTGTTGAGTGTTAATGGAGCTTCTTCACCTGAGTTCAGTGAACTCAGCTGATCATAGACACAAGCTTCAATGGCTGCTGCTGGGAAAAAAAATGTCAATTTCCTCTGCATTTCTGATCTAACATATCTTTTCGTATTTGCTAACATATTTTTTAATTAGACTTTTAAAAAAAATTACCTTGATGTAAGCTGTATTGTGTGTGCCTGACCAATAACAATTTCAAGATTTGGTCTGAGTCACTTAAGTTATACCCATTTTAAAATTTGTTTAAAATGGCTTGTGCCGTTTCAAACATAACATCACATGTGAAGAGTGTATCCTTTATCAATCTTTTCAATGTCTTGTAGCCTTTATTAAATTGTTATTGCATTTGTTAAGGTGTTGACATGGATTTATTTGTATATCTAATTGTTAAAACAGTGGTCCTGCTCTGGCAAATGCTGGCAACATCAATAGGGGTTCTATATCTTTAAATTTTGAAAATAATTTGTTTTAGTTAGAAAGATAGTGGAGACCATTTCAGAATTATGTTCTAAATTCCTGAGTTCTGTTGCAATTTTGTAATTTGGAAGAGAATTTATGAAGTATCAATTTTGGGCATTTATTGCGCATTCTGATGAAATCTTTGTGATGCTAAATCAGCAATTGATAATCAGCCTAGAGCATCTGTACTGGCTTAATTGTTAGCATAATAAGGTTTCAACTTTGTGAAGCTGTGTCACTTTTCTCTAGTACTCTGATTTCCTGCAGTCATTCCGTTTTTTTGTTGTTTTTTTGCCCTTGTGTATTGTTTTTATTGCAGTATTTGAGTTTTTATGAAGTTTTGTATATGAACTGAAGACTGTACAGTTAAGCATGTCCAAGTGGGATTAAAAAGTACCTTTTGGTACTTATTTATGACATTTAAAACCATACGAGAATAAACCTAAATTCCAACAAAGTATAAATTAACATGAGAATTATCTCTAAGAACAGTATTATTTTAGATTTGAGTGATACCCTAGACCATTGAATCACAGAATCACTGGAAGTGAGGATATTTTACAGGATCCCCTCCAAACATCACACACCAAGTTCAAATCTCCATCCTTCAGCAACAAAGGAGTGCTTTCTTAGACCCAGATTCAATCCAATTCAATTGTTACAAAGAACCACAAATACAACTACCATTTTAATAACAGTAAAGATAAGCACATCAATAAATTTTACCCTTTTATGCTCCTATTATCTTAAAGGCTAGGGTAGTAATTTCATGCCTAGAAGTGGCTTATTGTTTAAATCAGTCCAGAGACGTTGAGGTAGACATATTTTTCTGTATGAAATGAGTCAATAGGTGAGGGTGAATTACTTTCTGGTTTCAATACCAAAGAACAAAATTTTTGATGGATATCCTCAACAACTCTCCTTAGCACTCTATGTACATAACTGGTGTATAGGTGTGACAAGACATAAAATTTTATGTCTGCAACTTTGACTTTATATAGACACAGCCCGCGGTCATTTAGTGATGATAGTAGATCAAAAGAAAATAATTCAATTAATGGTAAGTTAGTTTACATACCAACAAAAAACAAACTATCCATAAGTGTAATCGCACTGGTCCCGCTTGCCTTTCACAAGTTGGTATCAACTACAAAGACTGTAGTGCTCAGACAAATCTTTAAAATGGGTACAAGTTTCTTTGTGATACCTCACCTACTTGTATATTTTAAATGTAGTGGTACCCACTAAACAAATTTATGCTACTGAAAGTAATCTAGTGGTTTTGGGTCACATTTGATTTTGTCCAATCAGTTAAAATACCTTGAGCAGTCTCCTTTTTCTTCTTTAGAACTGTCAGTGCCCCCATCATCATCTCCTTTGCCCTTTTTTAAAATGATTATCAATCTAGAAAATGAATATCCAACAGTGTGTGAGGGTGTAAAACAGAGTACCAGGCTGGTACAGGTGGGTGCAGGCAGGGAGTTGACCATGAGGGATTGCTGCTAATCGACAGGCTGTAATGACTAACGTTACAGTATTATATTTATTTTTTGTACATTTACATTCCTCAACTGAAAACTTTTCAACATTATATAAGGTATACTGAGTGTATGATTGATTATTTATTATACTTAAAAAGCAATAATAGATTCTTTAAAAAAAAATACTAAGAGATTTAACAAAATTGACAAATAAAAATGAATCTTTAAAAAGAAAAACAAGTAACAAGTATCTTGTATGCAATAATGGACTTAAGGATAAAATCAAGTATTCAGTGCCAACATTAAGGTACATATAAAACTTATCTTGTAAGTCCAAAGAAGGACAAAAATTACTTTTACTGTTATACATGTTAACAAACACTTAAAAACTATTAGTCTTTGAGGCACACTGTAAAAATAGCTGTGGAAGACAAATATTTTACTTTCCTTTATTTCTACGAACTTTACGAGGCTGGCGACGGATTGTTGTTATAAGAACACATCCCGTAATAAAGAGAGAGATGATCAAGATGCTGGGTTCAATGTACACAACAAATGATCTTATGAAGTCCAAAACAGTTGTAAGTAAGGTATTTGGAGAACGTTCTTTGGAACTTGGACTTAGCACCTTCATAGAATTAAGATAATCCAGCAATGGAGGATGGTCACGAGTGAAGATAGGGAAATATTCCCCAACTCTTACACGAGTCCACCAGCTTGAGCTCCATCTGAAAAAGAAAAAGAAAATGAGTTTATGATTTTACAAACATTGTCATCAAACCCAGTTAGTTTTAAAACCATAGATACCTTTCTTCCCAGGTGGTGTAGCGGTAATGGTAGAGACTAGCTTTAATGTATCTTGGGGGTTTGTTAGGGAAAGGGTTACGAGATGTGTCCAACAGCTGAAGCACTTCTGGTTGTCCAGAGAGTAGTCTGTACGTCAGGCTCATCAGCCATGGGTTTTGATGATACGTTCCAAGAGCAGCAAACCACATTTGCCAATCCAAACGAGGCTGGTAGGGAGCTGCAACAAAGATTATATAACTAGAATGCTCATCTCCAAACTCGATCCGTCTTCTTACGATACAAAACGACCCTGAAATTCCCAGATCGCTATCTCAATTCCTTCTCCAGTTATTGTGCATACAGACAGACAGACAAACAAACAGACAAACAGAATGAAACTTTTTCGGTCAGTGAAGTAATGGGCTTTGCTAATCGCTCACCCAATAAAAAATCAATCTTAAAAGGGACGATAAGAACTAGATGCATGATTGATTCAACACACATACCAACAAAGGGAAGAGTGGCATTGACATTGCCAGGTTTGTAGAGGAAGTGATATTCATTCCATGGACCTTCAATCGAATTGGATCCCTCAATGACTACTTCTGGTCTGCCTTCAACACCTGTCATTCTCCTGAACAGACCATATGCATCAACAAGGTGCAAGTGTTTTGTCTGAGTGTACCACTGGCGAACTTCAGGCAAAACAGTGTTGTTTCCATTGGGATGCAGAGAGGAGTGGGGCACCTGAAACAAACAAAAAGTGACAGATAGAAATAATACAGCTAGCATGGCTTTTGTTTAGTGAGTATTACAAATGCTTTGACTTACAATGCTGATTGCAAACAAGAATAATGCCGCTGCTGAATACATTACAACTGAACATAGACTAAGCACCTTCTTTATCAGGCCACCACTTAAGGTCAATGATCCAAAAAGACCAGTCGCAATTGCATAGGCCAAACCACAAAGCCCAATGTATACAAAGTCAACAACTGCTGCACCAACCACCTTGTCAAATTGGCTCACTGAAAATGCTATGACAAAGTGGACAAACAAATTAATTTTTGAGTTCCAAACTATATATACTCTAAAGAAAAAGCAAACTCACCAATAGATGTGTCAATAACCCCATCATCATTAAGCCTGACTTCAAAAAGCACCCACATTGCATAAGACAGGAACACACCAGACATTAGACTTAATAAAATTGTTGTGACTTGGTAGAACAGTGATTTTGGCTCTGGAAGAAAACAGGAAGAATATTAATCTCCCCAAAGAAAAGTGTAAAAAATAATTAAGAAGACCGAAATTTTATGATTTCACTGTACTTGGTCTCTGTTGTGTTTTTTTTTTTAAATTCATTTTTTACCTTTTATGAAAAAATCATCATCAAGAAGTGACAGACTCAAAGTTATGGTCAAAAGGTTGAAGAAATTGTAATTTCCTGTCAAAATAATGTTGATTTGAAGGAATACCTAAAAATAATAAGACAAAGTTAGGAACAATGGCTGATTACAAAAATATTCAATTTAACTCATTTTAATTACCTGGAGAAGAAAGGCAACATTTCGAACTGCTTTAAAGGGTACAAAGAATAACATGGGGACAACTGTTTCAAGCAGAATTGCAAAGGCAGTTACGAAACGAAGGAACCACACTGGAAGATGATGGGCATACCAGGCAAGTGGTGTGGGAATGCACTGGGACTCAAAGTGAACATTCAAAGCTGCAAATGACAGAAGATGTATCCCTAAATTATGCTGAGCTTGTTGGTTACAAAGGAATTATCTCGTTTTTTTTAAGCTCTTGTGAGCAGCACCTACCACTGAGACCCCACCATGTTGGACAACCACTAGACAATTTAACAACACCAGATGAGAACATTAGCCGAAAGAAAAGCCATCGCACAGAATAGAGAGAGATGGAGTCAACAGGCGAGCTTTTTTTGGCCCCTGAACTCATCATTGGTGCGGCTAAAGCTGCCAAAATTCCAGCTTCCAGTAAAAGAGAGTCCCTGTATAATAGCAATTTTATTAAATGACAACACAAAACTGCTTATTAATGCAACATATTAATACTGTAAATATTATTACCATTGGAATTCCATGAATGTTTGACCAACTTGATAAAGGGAAAAATACAATGTCCATAATATTGCAAATGTTGGTGCAGTACAAAAAGACTGCTTCACAAACCTAGGTAGAAGAATAAATATCTATAGGCTATGACCAAAACACCTTATTGTGGCACACGAGCAACACGCAGTAGTATGATGAAGTAGCTTACCCGGTAAAAGCTAAAGCGGTTCCAATCAGAGCCAGAACATCCATCATATACTCAATATTGAGTCCCAAAAGCGGAGCAAACCATAAGAGAGTTGGTTTGATCGACATTTTAGAGAAAACGGACTCCGTTCCTTTCAGTACCAACTGAGTGTGTGCAGGTAAGATGCCATTGGTGCCGTACAATCCTAAAAATAAAAATAACAAAAATTAATGGGATAAATCCATAAATGATTACAGAGAAATACCAGAGTGTCCCTGACGACCCTTTAGAATGCAAGATGAACAGGGGGTGGTAGTCATGAGTAGATGTGTTTGAGAGCAAACCCTACAAATGCATTTCAAATACGCGAAAAAATCCTGGACACTTGTGATCTACTAAAGACGACTTATGCGTTAAAGAAATGTGGGGCCACAATCACAAGAGCCGGGTGCTGACAGGTCATACAGCCGTGGACTTACCCGGTATTTGAATGTAAAATGAAGCAAAGGCAAACATATAAATTACACTCATTCCTCTGAGAAAGAGGTTTCGTGTGTATCTTGAGCCAGACATGTTTTGTGTGGGCTAAATTTCAGATTTCAGATTTAAAGACCCCCCAAGTTCCGGGCCGCACCGCCGCACGCACCGCCACCGCGACCGCAGCCGCACCGCACCGCAATGAAGCAGGAACAACTTCCTGTTGTTTATTTGTTCCGTTGTTTTTTTGGATCCGGCGGGGGAGGGGGAAGGGGAGGGGAAAGGCAGGGGAGGGTAATTTTTGTTCCTCTGTCGAGGGGGAGGAGGGAGACAAGGGGCAAGCCCCGTCAGCGGAGCACCCTTTCCAAGCTTCGAAAAACTTCGAAATTACAAAATCGTTACCACACAATATCTTTTATTGTGTCAACAATTGTGTAGGGCTGGACTGGAGGTAGTCGAACATGAAGTTTCTCATGGACCTCATGGTAGCCTCGCGTGGACCCTCCAGGCTGCTGCTCGGGGCCCCCGCTCCCCCCTCCCACCCCGGGGGCTCCGCGCTCCGCGTAAGAAGGACGCAAGTGAGAGCAGCGATGGGGCTCGGGGCCTATGTGATCTTTTTGCACTGATGGGGTCCTGCTTCTCGCTTGAAGAGCGGTCCAAGAGCCCTCTCTCGGATTATCTCCAGAATTCGCAAGAATGTTTACTTTTGTTGTGTTATTGTCCGATCACAACTAATCTCTTGTAGAGAGAATTAGCTAATATCTGCGGTTGCTGAAATTTCAACGTAGCGAGTCGAGTGCCGCTTGTGATTAGAATCCGGTGCCTACAGTGCAGACCTTCTCTTCAAGGTGGAGGGCAGCGCGAATTTGGGAAGCAGAATGGTCGGCCTTTCTGGCGGGGGGCACCTCTTCAGCCCTGTGCCGGCCCCAGAAGGTGAGCATTCTGCTAGTTATTTGTGTACCCGTTGAAATAGGGGTACCTTTTGAGGATAACTAAAAGGTTACATTTGCAAGTGAGGTTGAGGTTACACTCACAGCACAGGGAGTGTGGCATTTTTCACTGACTGTATGATATTTCCCATTTTTTTCGGCCTTTTTTGTCATTTATTTGTGATTTCTTAGTTTCTATTGACTTGCTTGAAATTATGAGATATCAAGACATGATAAAACATGGAAAACCTGTGGTGATGTGCTTGGTGCTCATGATTCAACCTGAGAAAAACACAAAGAAAACAACAAAGTTCAGGTCTAATTTTTGCCTTTACAGGTTCTGAAATGCCGGGGTGTCCCCCAGACCAAGTCTACCCGGTCAGGGATATGGCAGGGATGAATGCTGGTGCTCCAACATCCGCAGATGCATGCCTCAGTATTGTTCACAGTCTTATGTGTCACAGACAGGGAGGTGAATCTGAGGGTTTTGCAAAGCGAGCAATAGAATCTCTTGTCAAAAAATTGAAGGTATGTAGACTGTAGTCTTAAAATCCATTGTTTCTTAATGTCCAGTATTGCACAATATTATCTATCTCTTCTGCTTGTAGGAAAAACGTGATGAACTTGACAGTCTGATAACGGCTATCACAACTAATGGATCACATCCAAGCAAATGTGTAACTATTCAAAGAACATTAGACGGTCGTCTGCAGGTATGAAGAAATTTGAGGCTGCTTCTATTGTAGCTTAAGTTTGGAAAATTTTATAATCTCATATGCCACTGTATACAGGTTGCAGGACGGAAAGGATTTCCTCACGTTATCTATGCAAGAATATGGCGCTGGCCAGACTTGCACAAAAATGAACTGAAGCATGTGAAATTTTGTCAATTTGCTTTTGATCTCAAATGTGATTCAGTTTGTGTCAATCCTTACCATTACGAGAGAGTTGTGTCACCAGGCATAGGTTGGTGTTATTGTAGTGATAACAAGCTATGTCTCAAATTTTCTTGTTTGCTAGTATTCCATGTTTTGTGCATAGCAATCTGAACTTTGTCGATTATATTTTTGTACTTTACTTTTACAAACAAATCCATGGGCAGTGCTTTCACGCACTTGCCTGTCATTGAAAAATAGACATGTTTTCAGATTTGTCTGGACTGACTCTTCAATCCGGACCAAGCCGTTCTGTGAAAGATGAATATTCAGCTGGAGTTATGGGTCTTGGTGGAATGGATCTTGAAAGTGATATGGCAATGGCCCAGACAATTCAACATCACCCAGGACAGTATACCATGCCTGGAATGGCCCCACCTCAATCGGGTAAGTAATATTATTTACATTTCTCTAACCATGTAGCACCCAAAGATTGAAATTGATTTTATTTTCCTAGTGCTATGTGCCTGCTTTTTAATAAGTGGATGCGGGTTTCTTCCTTTTATTACTTGTATTTTGCAAATTATTATTCTAAACATTGCTCTTTTCAACAAATTCACTAACTGAAAGAGGCATGTTGTTCTTATGCTGACTGTAGCGCTGTGTGACTGTATATACAATTGCTATTGAAAAATGGTATTTAACAATTGAAAAATTTTCTAGCACTTTACTTTTGCCTTCATGAAGATACTTGAATTACTTATGGGGGCATCTCAGTGTAGCCTGCTTGTTCTGTAGGTGTTTTAAGTAACTATTTTGTTTTAAATCGATTAGTTCTTGAACACAATCAAGTACACCGTTTTATAGCTCATACTTTTGACTACAAAACTCAATATATCCCGTGTTGATACGCCCACGCAAAGCGGAGATACCCACTGTTGAAAAGGGCACATCATCTTTTCATGGTGTGCAGCCTGTAGGTCATCTTAATAATCTGAAAAAGACCACCAAATTTTTTCAAGACTCTTTAGAACTCTGGTTATGGCGTGAACTAGGATATCTGAAATTGGTTACCTCCTCCATCCTCCAAAAAATTCAAGACGAAGAGATGTTTTGTTATTTTTTGGATATGTTAAGTTTAAGTTGATCAAATAAATAGAAAAATCATTTTATCGCAAATATCCTAGTTCACCATTTACCTACTTTTATTAAGAGTCTAACAAAAATTGGGTGGTCTGTTTGAGACCAACGGCACGACCTGAAAGCTGCATACCATGACAAGACGACGGCACTGCAGTGCCGTTTTAACAGAGCATACCTCAACCTCAGCTTTGGGTCTGTGTATCTGGTTCATAAATATTTAGTTTCCTAGTAAAAGGTATAAGCTACTAAATGGTCTACTCGGATTTGTTTTAGAAACTATGGATTTTCTTAAATTAGTTGCTCAAAACAGTCCTAATTTAGGCGTGCTACAGTAGGACTAGGAATCCCCCCTCATAAGTATATAATTCTAATGTTGAAGGGTATTTCATTAATTTAGGCCTAACATTTCTACTTCTTCCTTTAACTTGATTCCTAGTATGTATTTGTAGTGCAGCCTCACATTATTCTGTACCTGGAAGTGACAATATTAGTGATGTGTGCGCTTTTAGAACAGTGGCTTGGCAGCATGTACTTATCTGGTTCAGCAGGTGAAGGTGGCCTGCTCTTCGGTCAAGGTCAAGGCCGCTTACCTCCGAAGCTGGAGGCTCCTGTTTATTCTCCCCGATCTTCCTGGTTACCTCCACGAATAGCCCATTGTAAGTTCCTTCCCTTGATACATTTATTCTGGTGAAAGATTAATTTTACACTTAAAGTCTGGATGTAACAGAAGATCTATGATTAAAGCTGGCATGTAACCGCAATGTGTTATAATTTAAAAGTGAAAAATTACTGTTAAATTGTTTAGTCATATTTTATAAACAAGGTTTCAGTACCTGACCTAATCTAGCTGGCTTGCCACTTTTGCATTCTGGATGTTGTTTTTTTCATAGCTTTACCTTACACCAAAGGTCGTGAGGTAATTTATTAAAAACTATAGTATCTCACTCTTAAATATTGTTGTCAACCTATCCGTCTGCTGCTGTAAGTGCTGTACATTATTTATGCTAATTTTTCTTTCCTCCCAATTTTGAACTAGAATTTTCATTTTAAAACCCATCTCAGCTTAGATTCTTCATTAATCTTAAAACTGCATGATTTTGAAGAAGCCTCTCTTGTTATCGCAACAGCTATTAGCACTATATATGAATTAAATAGAGAATGAATAGAATGCCACCCACTTTCTATGTATATTTAATGTGTAATCTTTTTAATTGACTTGGCTTTCCATCTTTTCTCAGCTGGTTTTCCAACTCACCAACAACACTCGGTGGTCACTTCTCCAAGTGGCCTCAGTTCAAGCTCTGGTCTGCGCCCAACTCCCTCTGGACCAGGGGCCCCCTCTGGGTCCCAACAAGTCCCAAGTGGAACAATTTTATCTCCCTCTCAACCTGGACTAGCCATGGCAAGCAGCTCCTCAAGTTACTTTGGAGCGGCTGATCAGTCACATCAGGCAGCCTTGTCTCCAGACCCAACTCACAGCAGTCTTACCTCAAGTATAGGTACTCCATGACTTTGACAAAGTTACACCTGCTATTGGTTTTTATATAAATCCGTAGAATGCTTTCCCTGTTCTTCTTTAATTCTTAAGCACTTACTCTTTGGTCTACAGGTAGCAACCAAAGTTCCATTCCACCCACTGCCATATCTCCACCTCGTATGCACCAGAATGGATACAATCCAGTCCCTCCTCCAAGTCAACAAGCTCAGTCACCTAACCCACCAAGTCAACAGCAATCACCCCCACCACAGGTTGCTCCAAATTCCCACCAAGCTTCAGTACCTGTTGTTGCCCAGCCCCCACCTCAACAAACCAGTCAAGTACAAGTGGTGAGATTTGGTTTTCTAATAAATATCAGTTTTATTTTACAAGCTACAAATTAACAGTATACATCTATCTATCTATGATCAGGCCTGTCAGCCACTTCAAAGTCAGTCCCAGTCGGTGCAACAAGTTCCCCAGTCTACTGTGTCGCAGACTCAAGTTGGTCAACAGGCTCAAGCCCAATCAACAGGTACGGCAACCCAAGTAACGTCTCAGGCCTTTGGAGGTGCCCCCTCCTCATGGGGTAGTAGGGGCAACAGCACACTGACTTATACCCAGAGTATGCAACCTCCTGACCCACGTCATCACCACAGTAACTTCTGTAAGTTCATTTTCTATCTTGGAAGTGATCTATTTTCATGCAATTACATAACTTACCTTTTCTTCTTTCCTTTAAAAAAATAACAAAAGAAAACTACTTTTATTTTGTGCAGGGAATCAAACTGTGCCTGATACTATGGGCTTGCTTTCTTCTCAACCTGCTCCTGAATATTGGTGCTCTGTTGCTTACTTCGAGCTTGACACTCAAGTTGGTGAGACTTTCAAGGTTCCATCTACTTGTCCAAATGTAACTGTGGATGGCTATGTTGATCCCTCAGGAGGAAATCGCTTCTGCTTGGGTGCTTTAAGTAATGTTCATCGTACTGAACAGAGTGAAAAGGCCAGGTAGGTTCATACAGTAAAGTAAATACAGTAACAGAATTAGAAATACAAAATAAAAACACAGTTTTAATCCACCTTCTATTTTCAGATTGCACATTGGAAAAGGTGTGCAATTGGACCTTCGTGGAGAAGGTGATGTTTGGCTCCGTTGCCAAAGTGATCATTCAGTGTTTGTACAGAGCTACTATTTAGACCGGGAGGCAGGTCGTGCTCCAGGAGATGCAGTGCACAAAATCTATCCTGCAGCCTACATCAAGGTAAAGTCACTTTTTAGGTTTTTATCTAATATGGTAGCATCAGGTTTCTTTTCTGCCAGCGCTAAAAAGAGTCCATTTTCCCCCATTCCGTTTCAGGTGTTTGATCTCCGGCAGTGCCATCGCCAGATGCAGCAGCAGGCTGCAACAGCGAACGCCGCTGCCGCTGCTCAAGCTGCCGCGGTAGCGGGACACATACCTGGACCCCACGCCGTTGGGGGTATTGCTCCCGCCATCAGTAAATGTGAGCCTGACCTGCCATCAGCTATTAGGCCCAATACTTACGTACTGTTGACATTGGTGTTATCTCATGACTATTTTTTTTTTTCAGGTTTGAGTGCTGCAGCTGGGATAGGGGTAGATGATTTGCGACGGTTATGTATTCTTCGATTGAGTTTCGTGAAGGGCTGGGGCCCAGATTATCCCAGGCAGTCTATCAAGGAAACACCATGCTGGATAGAGGTAAAGCACTAAAAAAAATAATTTGCTTTTATTTTGGCATTTGTATTTATTTATTTATCTTATTTATCTATCTATCTATTGTATTTATTTGGTATCTGTTTTGTCCATAACAGTAGTAATTCCTTCCAACTATTCTTTGTAATTTGCAGGTGCATCTTCATCGTGCTTTACAACTGCTTGATGAAGTCCTACATACAATGCCCATAGATGGACCTCGAGCCATTGAATAATTATACTTCCATTTTTATTTGGTGTGTCATAACTTCTTTTCTCTCATCATTTAGTTTACCTTGGGCCGTACAAATATAAAATCAAAGTTATTTCCTTCCATTTGCTTCCTTAATTTCTCAACTTACAAAATATTGTAAAATAACAAAATGTTGTAAAATATTTATTGGATAGAATGTATCATTTTTTTTCTTTTAAGACTTTTCTAAAGGCATCTTTTGTACTTTTATATCGAAATCTTAAAATTCATTTTACTATTGTTTAAATCTTGTCAGCATTGAAATCAAGTCTGTGGGAGGGGTCAGGAGTGTTCTTTTTTGTGTAAACGAACTCTTTTTTTAAAAAAATGGGCCTTTTAATAGACTTTGCAAGCCATTGACTGGGTAGGGCCTGTTAGTGTTGTGAGGAAAAATGTATTACCAAGACATCACTTCTAAAACTAGTTTACTAACCCTACTCACAATTACATTGAATTTTACAAGTAATGTACATTAGTTGTTTTGACTATGGTTGGCTGCTGTGTAATTTTACCCTTTATAAAAATAATCAGATTGATCTCCATAGATGTGTTATCAACCATACAATATTCTATCTAACTGAGTTTTGATGCGGAAGTGGTATTCTGTTATGTAAGTTGGTCCTATCGTGAAGACAAAGCAGTGGCAGAAGAGTGGGTCTAAAGCTCGCATACCACCTACCAGTTTCAGTTTTTGATTTTGAATGAAAGCTCCCGTGTAATTACTTATTAGGCTTAATGGGGTGCTCATAAAATGTGTTATCTGTTTCTAATCTAAAGTTTTTTACCCCTGACAGCTAAACGCATGCACTCATGCGCATCTCCATTAATCAAACCCAACACGGTAAAGAGTTATGATTTGAATTAATTCCAAACTTGTTCACTTCAAAAGTCCTGTATCAGATTTTCAGTTTCACTGCAACCCTCAGAGGTTTGGGTGTGTCGTCTGTCATCAACGGTAATTTGGTAGCCCCTGAAATTAAGAGTTTCAATTGATGTGCGTGACTGTAGTAATATAGGCTGCAGGCCTCATGTTGTAGGAAGTCTATCATATTCCTTCTAATTTAGTAATTTAATGAACTGGCAGCATAACTTACGCTTGAATTGAACAGGTTTCTCTTTTACATGTGAATGGTGTTTTTTCTATACATTGACAAATGTAAAAAAAAAAAATTGCGCCGTGGCTGCTATTTGTTTTTATTTTTCTCTTGCTAAGTAATTTGTTTTGATTCTGTAATGATTTTGTGGTTTTATATTTTGTTACATAACATGTTTACTCTTATAATCGAATGTCCTCAGTTTAAATGTTAGCTGCAAAACACGTTCAATTTTCATGTAAGTTACTGTCCAATTCCTCTTTTTTCCCAAATACTTGAGTTATAAGCAGTCTGTTCACTCTTTTCTGTAACCTGACATCTCATGTCCTTCACCAGGTAGCAGTTGCATTCTAAGCATAGTCCTTTGTTGGTATCTTGTAAGACTGATGATGTATCTATGTCCAACTGAGCAGACTTCTTATACTTATTTGAGGAGTACCTAAGTATCCTGGCCAACAACCAATGTGAATATTTCTGTAATACTAATGTATTTTGCTCTTGATTTGTAATATCTATTCAAAATTTGTAAAGGATTGGCCCATATTGTCATTTTTATTAAGTAGACAGTGCCAATATGTCCAACCTTAGCCTGAGATGCAAACAAAAATCCCCTTCTTGTGCAGCGAACGCTAACAAAGTTGAGGTGAAGCCAATAATCTTAAGGACTGAGTGGAACAGGGTTACTAACAACTGCACTAAGACAGTTGAGACTTGAATGCTTTTCAGATGATTATTTCTATCTCCTCTTCAATTACCAAAGAACTGATGTTTTATTTAAGTTGGGTTTTAAGACTTGTATGCTGTGCTCATTTTAGTCTAACTTTTGTGAGGCTTTCTATGTATGTTTGTGACATGCATATTACTTTTAACAACCAGAATTGTGCAGTACTATTAATTTAAGATGGTTTATCTTCTTTTTTTAAATTTAAAATCAAATTATTCTGTGTACAGGCTTGGTTGTGTCTCTTGGACAGAATTGGTGAGATTAGATTGTAATGTGTTTTGCAAGAGGAATAGTGTATTATGTATTGTGCTTGGTGCTGTTACCTAAAGTAGTGCAGAGAGGTGTAATGACTTTCTTTTTTTTTCCCCCTTCTGAAATTTGACCTACATCTTGATGTAGAAGGACTCAAAATTTCCAATTGATGTTAGATATACTTGGATTTGGTATGTTTAGAAATTAAAAAATTAAATTAATGCTTTTCAACTTATCCATTGTCTTAGCATGTAAGAATTAACTATTTGGTGTCTACTTACTGTAAGCTCTATTTTAGCAGCTTCTTTTAAAAGAATTCTTTCCCTTTACATCAATGCGTGTAACTTAGGTCAACACTGAACTGCTGATCAAAACAAAGGCTTGATTGTATTTTTGTTTATCATGTCGCATTATTCTATTGTATGTTATGGATTTACAAAATTGCTCTCCTTGGATGTAATTATGGATTTCACAAATTGTATTTTTAAATGATTCCAGTTATGTGTTTAAATTGTGATGCCTTTCAATATTGTTTTTCAAAATCATTAAGTGTACAATTTAGGGTATGAAAGAGAAAGTTTATATTTAATTATTTTACGCAAGATTTTATTTTTTTGAGTTAAATATTTAGGACATCTATTTTTGTGTATTTACTGTTCAAACTCTAAATTCTTGTTCAGTTTGTTTTTAATTAAGTATTTTTGTTGTTTTTTCTGTTTCATTGACTTCCTTACTATTATGAGATTGCTACATTATAGAGTATCTGCTTGAATAGGTAAGCTCTGAAGATAAAAACTAGTTCTTGAATGACTCTCTGGTCATTACATTTCACTTTAAAGCACTTTCTTTTTTTTTCTTGAATGAAAGGGTTTTTATATATGCCTCAAGAAGGGCACTGTTGACATAGCAGAAACTATGGATCAATCTAATCATGTCCCATCTGACCTCATACATGTTGGATAGCCTTTTTACCGCAATGCTTGACTGGAGTGAATGCTTGTTATCACCTTCAATGATAAAGAAGCAAGATTTTGAGTTCATCAGGCCTTGTATTCAAAGCAGTATCCTATGATGTAATTGAATAGTTTGTGTGTGTCCTTTATGTAAGGTTGAGTTTTCTCATAGGTGTAGGAAAAGTCTACTGTTTTATTTTGATCTAATCCTCTATTTTTATCCATGTTGATCTCTGTCTTTAATTTGTTTACTTTCTGTGGAATACTTGATATGCTATGTCATTAGTTAATTTGCAGTAGATGTTTTCATAGTTTCTTGTAGTAATGGGATATACATAACTAAGCATGTGAGCCGTAAATCGTATTTATGTGTTGTGTGAAGAGTCTCACTATTTTATTGTGGACATTGTTACCAATTGTACTTTCTAGCTGCAGTCTTGGAGTCTTATAACAATGACAATTTAGTTGTGTCTGATTTTTGTGTGGAGCTTTTGTCATGACAGGCAATGCAATACTTTCAAATAATATGCAAAAACTCAAGATATTGTGATAATTGTTTTCATTATTGGTGTATATAATTTTCTGGATAATTACATCTTGTTGGCTTATGTACAATGTACCAACTATTTTGTAGTCATTTCTGTACCTTTCCAGTTTTTAAATTTGTTTCATTTTTTATTGTAATTTTGTTACAAGTGCTAATATGTAAAATGATTCAGCTCAGTAAATCCTTTTGTGACCACTGAGAAAGACCTTTTGCATTAATTCATTGATGGTATAATCTGGAAATGTTGAGCATCTGGATGTCTCCCCTTCCTTCAGGTCCCCCTGAAATTTGTTATTTTCCAAGAAACAAGATACTACCTTCAAAATTCTCCGCCATCATTGCAGATTGCAGGTTTGCTCATTCGTTTGAGGCTGCAGGAGACGGTAGGCCAGCCCGCCAGGCTGCTGCGTTGTATTGGCGGCCCGCCTTGAGAACCACAGTGCGGGGCCACTTCAAACCAACCAGAACGTTTGCCGTCCAATGTTATTCGTTCCCTTACGTCACTATGGGGAATGTTCATCGTAGGGGCGGCACCTCGAAAGCACTGGTGTTTTTAGAATGAAAAAAATCAAGCGAACGGAGAAGTACCATGAATGTTCCAGTGCCAATTCAACTCCAGTAAAAACCGTCCTCACAAGGTATCATCATTATCCTCAACTCCTTTCATTGACATGGTTTCGAACAACTTGCAAAAGATATCTGTTTAATATCTCCTTTGACACAAAAATAAAACTTTAAAATTATCAAAAGCTTGATACAAAATATTTTGCAATGGCATCCATATATAAAGCTTGCCATCAGTCTTGGAACATGCGTAGTGATGACAAGAAATTTAGAACACAATCATGTGTCAGCACAGTATTCCTTAAGCCTAGTTGCTAGTGATCCATCAGTCCACTCATATTCTTGATTATTGATGAGATCAAAAACCTCAAATCTGGGAATATCTTGTGTAGCTTTCTTCCCTATCACAATAATTAAAGGGTACCCACTTCGTTTCGCCTCTCGTAAACGGCGTCCAATTGATAAGTTAGTACGATCATCAACAATTACATCATTTTTGAAAGCTTGATTGCATTCTATTAGGTCATACAAACTCTGCGTCAGACCAGAGGCAGCTTCTTCTTTGCTACCATGCTGTTAAAATGTCCAAGTCCAAGTTACTTTTATGCTTTAAAGTAAGTTGCCACAATTACCAGTAATACCAACACTTGCAGAACTTACTTTGGGTGTGATTATGCAGACTTTATAAGGAGCGATTGATAATGGCCAACGCAACTCTGTGGGTAGTGACAAGGCTTCAACAGAGGCTGCAAGGATTCGGGAAAGGCCCAAGCCATAGCAACCCATGATTAATGGCTGTATGGTATTGTCGTCAGCAGTAAACGTAGCATTCATCGGCTGTGAGTACCTTGTACCCAGGATGAATGTGTGACCCACCTAAAGAAAGCATAATTATTAGTCAACTGCAAAGAAAACCTTCTTCACTACACATCTCTTTGCATGTTTGACAAGATCCGAAGTAAGATTTACCTCAATGCCATGCATTATAGTAATATCTGAGGAACGGCAGTGAGGGCAAGAAGAAACTGGACTCTCTAGTAAAGATGCATTAGATGAGTTGTGACAGTTTTGGCACTGGATTATCTGTTCTTCACCACTTTCACAGGGATAGTGAAACTCATGTGACATACTACCACCCATCATGCCAGAATCCCCTTCCACTGAAAGAAAGTAAAATTGAGAATTGTCATAAGTGATGATAAAATAAATTTTAAAAAAATAAAGAACCACAGAAACTTAAAAATACATCAACTGACCCCTCACATATTTTACACCTAGCTCTTGAAAAATACCATTATATGCTTCAGTGACAGATTGGTAAGTTTCAAGAGCATTTTCTGCGTTAGCATCGAATGAATACATATCTTTCATGACAAACTCCCTGGTTCGCAAGAGACCATAGCGCGGACGGGGCTCATCTCTGTATTTATTTGATACCTGATAAAGGAGGAGCGGAAGTCTTCTGTAAGATAGTCCTATTTCAGCTGCTAGCATTTCTGTGATAGCCTCCTCATGAGTCTGGAAACAGTTAAGACAAACCATTTATCTCTTAAATATATTACATCAATATTCTATTGCATTAGGCATGAATGAGCATGTGCCAAACTTACTGGACCTAATATGTACTGCCTCTGATGTCTGTCTTCAAGAAGAAAAAGTTCACTACCTGCTTTAGCCTCTTCCAAACGACCTTAGATAAGAGAATAAGAAAAGGGCAACGATTTTAAATCAAGCTTTTCAAATATTAACAAACTAAAATAAATGGCAAAATTTCAGACAAATAGTACCTGACTGCTTCCAGAGTTTATCGGAAGTTAGGGTTGGAAGCAGAAGCCTCTGTGCTCCAACCTTCTCCATAAAACGATCCACTATGACTTCAAGTTTTTTTAAGGCTCTCATGCCAAGGGGAAGTAGAGTATACAACCCTGTGGAAGTGGCCGCCCTAATGACACCTTGCTCTAGCATCATCTGGACCGCCGCAAAGTGCAACAAATTAGAGGAACTATAATGATACAACATATCAAACAATTTTCCACTGACACTCACCCTTTGACTTTTAATGATGTTCGAATCCTGGAGAGATTTTGGTATGGGAGCGGTAGGTTGAAAGAGCTTCGTTACACGATTCATGTTGATTAAAATTTGCAAACACAGCACTCAGTATTCAGCGGAGGGTAAAATTTAAACACTTATAGGTTGGAACATTTCTGCTGATGCTCAAGACTGATCCCCTTGTTGTCTCTGTACATTCCTAATGTGATGATGGTAAAGATTAGGTTCTGTCTGCTGTGTCGCGAGCGACAGTACACATATGATGAAAATCAATCAACAAACTATTCATCTCAAGCAACACTAGGAAATTTCTCATGACTTGGATATGTAGTCTCTTATGAGGTGTCACTCTGAACTAAGCTTCGGCGTCTCCCCCCCCCTCCCCTTTTCCCCTTCCCTCTAGCAGGGGTGGCAGGTGCAAAATAAAGCCCTTACATTAAAATGTAGCGCTAAACGAGGGGCAAGATGTGACACCCTGCGTGTCTGTTCAGCTCAGAAATTTCAAACTAGAATTATTTTTTTGATGACATTTCTGGGTCAATCTTTGAAGGACCCATCTCGTTCCATCATTTTTCAGAACACCCATGCATGGAGAAGCTCTAAAATGTCTTCAAAATTGTTTGTGAAAATATATTTAATTCATTACTGAACAACCGAATTACATCTATCAAACACAAGTTGATATCCATATTAGCAAAATTTGAAATTGGCCATCCCGACACTTCACCTTTGGTGAAAAATGGGAAGAAATAAAATGAAAGATGTTGCTTTGTTCAAAATTGAGCCATCACTGCTGTTGGCAGCGTTAGTAGCTTGGAAGTGGGTAGGGGATGGGAATGGGGAGTCATATCTGCTCATGTGCTACTGTGTCCCTTTAGACCTCACCCCGTACCTCAAGCAGTTCTTGAGTTATGGGCATTTAAAGCCCAACATCATACTTTTCACATTCGGAGAATAGATTCTACAAAGGCAAGATAAAGTGTATTGTTATCAATTGAAAAAACTAGGTGGGAAATCAGTAGTTTGGGCATGGTGCTGTGTCCAACAAAAAATTGCTTATGCAAATGCAGTCAACACTATTTCTGCCTGAGTGACAAGTAACATATTGGCGTCTGTCTTGTGAGATCATCTGCATCAAGCAGGTCTCTCAACTCAACTACACGAAAGTGCAGCAAAAAGTCTGATTCACCTGCTATGTCCCCCCCCCTCCCCCTTTTCCAAATATTTAATAGAATTACAAATGGATTGACTCTTTAGGCTTGCCCTGTTGAATAAGTGTTGATGAGGGGGCGGTTAAAATTAGTGAAATTCGCTTGCTAATTTTATAGAATAAAGATTTACTTATCCATCCATAACTTCTAAAACATACATAGTAAAAAAAAAAAAGGAAATCAGATTTAAATACAACTTGTACTGTACACAACTTATAATGACTTGCTAACGACCATCACAATCAAACGACTTTTAACATTCGTTCACATCATTCATAGAAAAAATGACTCAACTGAACGTAAATAAAAAGATGTTAGTATTCTTACTAAGCCATAGCACTGGTATTAAACTGGGGATGTGATACTATTGGCAACTACTTCCCCATGAGATCAGATAACAAGATGATAAAACAGAAAAAAAAACAACATATTGATTCTTAAAATTAAAACAGACAGGATTTTCTAGCTTGAATATGGCTTTGGTTACACAGAAAGCTTTCTCAACAAGAATTTACAATAATGTTAAACATAATTACATGTTTGCTTTTGCTACACTGGAAATGCCAGCCAACATGCAATGCTATGTACAAAAGGAATACAGGTTTGTAGAGAATTTTTTGCTAAAGCACTCATATTGGCACTTCATTTAATTCGAATCACTACTTACAGTTAGGTACAGTATAAATAAATAATTTTGATAGTTGATATAACCTGAAGATCTTATATACAACTAAATACACTCACAAAGGTTTAATAGTACAAAGAGAAAGGAAAATGGAACAATGTAAATGTACATGAGGGGAAGGGACAAACAAAAAGAATCTGAAACACAAATAAGCATAAGCTAGTTCTGGTAACAATAATGTTGAAAAGCCACAAATGAAATAAAATAGACTTTATGGGGATTACCCAATTAAATACAATGAATACTAACAAACTGGCCTGTGGCCATTTAAAATAAAGATTTATAATTAGTGAGATCAACAATATTCTTTAGTCAGAGACTGAGAACATCAGCTTATGGAATGGATAGATGTGTCACCTTATACTGCATAGCCTGGCTAGCAAAGGAGGACTCATCTCTCCTTTCACCTCAGGGAAAAACATAACAAATAAATAATACATTATAGAAGAAGTCTTTACCTAAATTACATATTTACATGCAAAGCCTATATGAAACAATTCACACAAACTATTTGAACAGAATTTTAAACATATCATGATAAAATTGAATTCCTAACAAGGACCAGCTGAAGAAAGCACACAGATCAATGTACAATTTTATGGCTCTGGTTCCTTTTTAATAGTTATGTCACCATTGGTTGTGGTGTCATCCTTGTGATTCCTATCCTCATCTTTATTCTCTTTGTCTTTGTCATTTTCTTTATCTTCCTTTTCTTCCTGTTTGTCCTTTTCCTTTTCCTGTTTTACAGGGGGAATATAAAAAGGAAGGTCATAACCTTCTGGCTCACTTATGAGGCCTGCCACATTACTGAGCACAGAGAGAGAATCTTTCACAGCATGATAAAGAATGTTCTTGATTTGGAGTTTATCTTCATGATTGGTGTTAGTGTCAGAGGACAGCATACGTAGCTCTTGAGTTAGATGGAAACAATGGTACACATTTTCAGGTGAAACAAAATCTTCAGCAACTTTTATACAGTTGTGCAAGTTTCGAACCTGGAAACCAAACATATTTAAATTATACTTTCGAATAATTAAGTGAAAGGACAATTACAAAGCAATATTAGAATTTTGGAAGTTACCTGGTGAGGAGCTCCAGCTGGAATGAATACAGCATCTCCTTGGCATTGAACAATAGCATAGCCTTCAACTTGATATTCCTTGTAAAGCCGTTCACGGAGAGGGCCATCCAAATACCAGGATTGGTCATAAATTGGATCGTGGTGTGGTGGAAGCACTTGGCCTTTCTCCTGAGCAACTTTGTTGAGAAGATCTCTGATCTTGTCAGCATCTCGTGCATGATAAATGTGCCAGAGCGCACCAGGGAGCTCTCCCCTCTCTCTCACTCTTCTACGTGTGAGTATGTCACATCCTGCCTCATCAATAGCACGATATGCCTCTGCAAAAAAGAACACAAAAAAAAAAACATTGTTTGAATTGAGACTAGAAGAATTTCCATTATTAAAAACATAATGTGAACAGAAATTTCATCCATACCTTTGATATAATCATCACTGTCACTATCTTTTGGTATGCCAACATACACCATGACATTCACAGCATCTGATATGTCAAGGTGTAAATTGGTAGTGCCTTTATTAGCATACGCAGCGGAGCCATATGCAGTGTACATCTTGGGTCCCAAGTCTGGGCGTACGAAGCATTCTGGCAGCCTGGTGGCAAGGTTCAGTCTTCCAGTACGGTGGGTGTACTCAGAGAGAGGAAGAACACCCATTAAGTCAGAAAAACGTGACGGCATATGCTCGGCAAAGTCTTCTCCTGTAAACAAACCAAAATTAATGAATTTGAACTTTTAATAGTTAAAAGTTGATAGTGCCAATTATATCTGAATAACATTTACCTGCAGGCCAGTCTTTAATTTTTAAAAGCATAGAATTTCCTTTTTCATCCTTAAGGCGTTTGCTTGTGTGCTCAAAGCCTTCCCAAAACTTCTTCATGGGTTGGTTAGGAACTACAGAGCCATTGAGACAATTGATGAGATCATTTCTTTCATCACCAAAGTCATGATTGAATGAATCTGGATGCCAGAGATTCATATCCAGCATTTTTGAAACTTCACTAACTATCACAGGTTGGCCACGTTTCCATTGATCCTAAGTGAAGAAAGAGCAATATTATAATCAGGCCAAGCAGAAAGGTTAACAAAAAAATAATTAAAAAATAAAAATAAAATACAAAATTATACCTGGAATATACGATAATTTGAAGGATTCAATGGATCAGTGAGTCTCAGGAGCTTTCCATCACAGAGCCATATATGTTTTACATCAGGATAAAAAGCTTGACTATCAGTTAGCGTCATAATTCTTAAAGGTAAGTCATTTCTAATCAGTCCTTCTTTGTATCTTCGAACAAAATATCTCAACTCGTTTAGTCCTGATGGCCCTGCACCATTTTCTTTGTCTCCTTCCTCCTTTACAGCTACAAGATTTGAGATCACCTGAAAATATTAATATTTGTTATTAGATTAAGTAAATGATGATGTAGGTAGAGTTGTATGATCAAATAAGGGCAAAATAACAACAACAAAAACATGAACTTACATCCTTCTCGGACTTGTCATTTCCCTGTAGTGCCAGGTCAGCAAGCCAATTCAGAGGCGAGTTCTTGTTCTCATCAGCCTTGCACCCATTCTGTTCTGTTTTGACAACACCATTCACAGGTTTGGACTCAGTCAGTACTCTTAGCAAATCCTGCAAGGGAGCAAGTAAAAATGAAGTTTGAGCAAGAAATTTACTTGGCTGAATGACAGAATGACACACTGATCATCTAAACAATATAAAAATAGTTACCTTATTTAATCCATTTGTAGGTTTTACAAAACTAAATGGACAACCACAGTTCTGGGCAATACCAAAGAGAGCGCGCACTTGATGCACACGTTTGGCTAACTTCATCATTGTATCAGCAGCTATAATTTGTGTGAGCATAAGCTTTGACTGCTCATGAGCTTGTCTATTTGTGCAGAACAGCCATCCTCTAAAATCTCTCTCCTTGTCACTGCCCGTTTCTGACATTAACTCTGGGTCTACAGGAACAGTACACTAAAGGGAGGAAAGAAAAAATATGGTAAGTAAAATTAAGAATACTGTATAAGAGAGCGAGACTATTATGGAGATCAGATTAGAACGTACCTTATAACAATCCAAACACACGACAAAACCACACTTAGCACAGGCCCAGTGGTAATTGAAAAGGGTTGTCTCACATACATCACACATCTCACGCACACCTTGTACAACTCGCTTCCATGCAATTTTTCCTGAAATAATTTGTTTGAGTTAGTAAATGAATAAAATATATGAACCACTGACTTCAAGTCCAAAGGACACTCACCATCTCCTACATGCATGCTTTGTGCCTCTGCTTCTTGCAAAAGTAAATCACAGAACTGGTCGCCAATTTGAGTTAGGAGAAAGCGAGACATCTCCACATCAAAGCCACCTGGCGGATTCTCTGGCTGGGCGACCCACAGCCTCAGATCATCCTGTAACAAGAGACACACCATGGTGTTACACAAAACACATAACAATGAGTACATCCGGATCGAAAACCTCAGAAGGAGCAGGCCCTCGCCTTACCTCTGAACAGTCTTCGTAAGGGTTGGAGAAGCCAGCAATGGCCAGCTGTCCGCTCTTGGTGTACCGCAGCTTGCGGAAAGCGTAAAAGCGGCAGAAGATATTGGGCATGTTCTTGGATCGCTGGTGTGGGGTCCACCTGCACTCACGGCACTTAGCCAGCCTGGGCGCCACCTCGAAGCACGCACCGTCCTGAAGGAATGACTCGCCGGTCCGCTTCAGTACGGGGACCGGCGGCTTCTTAAAAAAAGGCTCCCGTGCGCGCTTCGACCTGCCGCCCTCATCTTCCCCGTTTTTTGACTTGGGACGCCGACCCCTTTTGCGCCCCTTGGCCCCGGAGTCCCCCGACGCCGTGCCTGAACCGTGAGTGCTCTTCTTAGAGGGGGCCGTGGCGCCCCCTGCCGACCCTGCGCCTCCCCCGGTGCTGTCCCTGTCCTGCTCGCTGTCCTTGTCCCTTTCTGTTCCCGACGCTGAATCCTTGTCTGACTCGGAGCCACTCTCGGAATAGGACCTCACTGTGGCCGTCTTCCGAGCCTGCCGCCGGTTGGTCGCGGCAGTCTTCCTCCCCTTGGTCTTTGGGGATCGCCTCGGCGGGGGAGAGGCTTTCACTTCGGCTTCCGAGCTCGACGAGTTGTTGTCAAGTCCTCGCCCGTTGGCTCCTGCTGCCCCCCCGGCCCCGAACCCGGCATCCTTTGGCGCCTTCCGGGGGGTCTTGGCGTTTGGGTGATCCTTGTCCTTTTTTTCCTTGGTCGTGCGGTTGATGCTGTTGACCGCCATGGAGCCTATGCTAATGGACGAGACCGTCCTCTGCGGGACGACTGGCTTGTTGAGCGGGATGGGCAGGGTGACGCAGCTGCCGCTGCCCACCGTGCCGCTCGTGTCCTCGGCGTCCTCGCCGGAGTGGCGCTGCAGCCAGGCCTTCTTGAGCTTGTGCACGCCCCCGGCCGACGGCGCGGGAGCGGCGGGGGTTGGTGGCGCAGCGGGTGCAGCTGGCGCCGGGGTGGGTGCGGGGGCGTTAGGGGCTGGGGCGGGCTGGGGTAGCGAGGGGGATGCAGATGCGGCGGGAGGTGCAGGCGGTGCAGCTGGCGGTGCAGCTGGAGGTGTAGCTGGCGGTGCAGCTAACGGCATGGAGGGCGGAGCAGCGGGCGCATCTCTCAGGGCGGGTGAAAGCGTTGGCGCAGAGGAGTGCAGGAACGGCGAGGGACTGACTTGGCCGACTTCAGCCGACCTCATCGGACTAGCAGGGGGCGCCCCGAGAGAGTGAAAATGCGAATGCGAATGCGGCATTGGCGACATGGACGGCGACGTGAGTGCCTGTGTGGACTGAGCCGGTGCCTGGCCTCCGGGAGAGGCGGCCGGGACAGGACTGCGCCCGGGCCCGGGGCCGTGGCCAGGTCCTGGACCGGGCCCCGTGGACGGCACCCTCTGAGGCGGCGGAGGCGGGCTCAGCGCCGTCTGCAGGGTGGTGGGCGCGTTGCACAGCAGCGGGTTGGGGCTGGGCCCCAGGCTGGGGTTGGGTCGCGGGCTAGCGCGGGGGCTAGACTGCGGCTGTGGCTGGTGCAGCGCCATGGACGGGCTCATGGAGGGGCTCATCCTGGACGGGCTCGCCCTGGGGTGGCCCGGGCTGACTGGACTCGCCCTGGGGTGGCCTGGGCTCACCGGGCTCGCCCTGGGGTTGCTGGGCGGGCTCATGGGGCTCCTGTTGTGCAGTGAGGGCGGCATGGGGTAGCCCGATGCCATGCCTTGCGGGGCCAGCCCGGCGAAGTGCATGGGCAGGGGCGGCCCCAGCAGCAGCTGGTGCTGAGGCATCTGCATGGCCATCTGCAGGGCCATCTGCTGGTGGTCCAGGCGCGGCTTCTTGTCGGCCACGGGCGGCTGGAAGGGGCTCCTCCTCTTGTTGGGCGAGTTGGCCGGGTACGACTTGTCGCCCTTGTCGCCGCCGGCCAGGTCGAGCGGCTGCGTCTGCATCTGGGTCTGGTGCGGCGAGGGCGTGGTGCCCCGCGGGCTGGGCGCGGGCAGCGGCAGCCCCGGAGACTGGCCCGGCGTGGACGCGTTGTAGTGCGGCGTGGGCGGCTTGCCGTGCGCCGCGTGGTGCGCGCCGTGCAGCGCCGCGTGGTGGGCGCCGTGGTGAGCGCCGTGGTGCGCCGCCTGCGGCTGGTGCTGCGGCTGCTGGTAGGCGTACTGCTGCTTGGACTCGCTCTTCGGGTCGAGCAGCGGCTGCGACAGCGGCTGGTACGGCGATTGCATGGCCGGGCCGCGGGTGGTGAGGGAGATGGGCCTGTCCTGCGGGCTGGGCGCGCGCGGCTCGGCGCGGCTGGGCTTGCCGTAGATGGTGGAGGGCGCCGGGCTGGCGGTGGGGCGCTGCCGCGCCACCGGGGCGGGCGCGGTGCCGTGCGGCTGGCCGCCGTGCGGCAGGAAGGAGGTGACTGAGTAGGCGGGCCCGGACACGCCGCTGGGGCGGCCGGTGCCGCGCTGCAGCTGCAGGTGCGCGGGCTGGTGCTGGTCCGGGGACTGCCGCGGCTGCGGCGGCCCAGGGTGGGGGGCGGGGGGTTGGTGGCGCGCGGGCGGAGCCGACGCGACCTGACTAGATGGGGCGTGTCCCTGGGGCGAGGCCTGGAGGTTGCTCTGCCTGTAGGGCGTGGGCGAGCTGGCGGGCGGCCGTGGGCTCTTGGCCTCGGCCTTGACGATCACAGAGCCCTGATCCTGGCCCTGGCCCTGCTCGCGGAGCAGCTTGTTGATCTGCTCGTTCCTGCGAGCCATGGCCAGGGGGTCGTGGGCGTTGAAGCCAGCGGGCAGGCTGCCCGGCGGCAGGTAGGCGGTCGGGTAGCCCGGGTACAGGCTGAAGCTGGGCTCGCCCTTGGGCAGGCCGGGCAGCGACAGGCCGGGGTGCAGCCCGGGGTGCGTCAGGGGGTGGCCGACGTGGAGACTAGGGGCCGATGACGGACTAGGAGCGGGGCCCGGGGACTGGCCGGGGCCGGGGGAGGCGGTGGGCTTAGACTCGGCCTTCACCTCGGCCCTGGACTGGCCGTGGGCCGCGCCCGGGCCGCCGTGCGCCGGGGTGGGCTGCGGCGATCGCACGCCCGGGCCTGGGGAGCGGCGAGGAACCTGCAACAAGCAATCACCATTCATTCCAACAACTGTAGGTTACCTCTTCATGAATTTTAAAAGCATTTATTTATGCTCAACTATGATTTTCACTCATTTGTAAACCATTTAATAAAATTCAAAATTTAATTTTCTACCTGAAAGGTCCAATGTTGACATAAAATTTAAATGTGACCAGCACACAAACGTACCTTGATGGGGGGCTGTGCGTAGAAGGAGGACGGCGACGGCCTTGGTGGCGGCTGCGGCGCGCGCTGGGCTTGCGGCTGCACCGGCTGCACTCGCGCCTGCCGCTGCTGCTCCTCCAGCAGCCGCTTCTGCTGGTCCTGCTGCACGAGCCGCTGCTGCTGCTCGATGAGCCGCCGCTGGTCCTCGTGGAAGCGCTGCTGTTGTTGCTGCTGGTGCTGGTGCTGCTGCTGGGCCGCGGCCGCCAGGGCCTGCTGGTGCAGGATGCTCAGCCCGGGGATGTTGGGCAGCTGCGCGAGCGCCTGGGCCTGCGCCTGGGCCTGCGCCTGTGCCTGGGCCTGCAAGCTGGCGAGCGAGGCCGGCGGCTGGTGCTGCGCATGCTGCGCGGGTCCGGCGCCCCCCGAGGGCGGGCGCTGGTCGCGCTGGTCACGCTCATCGCGCTGGTCGCGCTCGGCCGCGGTGGGGCCGGCGCCCTGGGGGCCGGGGCCCTGCGGCCCGGGCGGACCCGGGGGGCCACGATTACCCAGAGACCCGATCCAACTGCGATCGGCGGCGTTCTGCAGGCAGAGGGCGGGGCGAGGTCAGACAATGTGAGCCATTGAGGGAGGAAAGCAGCAAAGAAACAAATCAAAATAAATTGCTGCTTGTATTGAAACATAATTTTAAAAAAAATATTTTAAAAGAATAAATTCAAATCCAGTATATCCCATAACCACGGACGAGAGGCGAAGAAGGCTTGTTAGTAATGAAGGAGATGATGGGTTTGTGGCGTTAGATGTTATTGGCGCACAGACGAAACGGAGAGAAAGGGGGAGTTAGAGAGGATAGCCGTAAGAGAAGAGTTTACAACAGGTTATTATTGTTGAGTGATCCATTTTTTTTATGCAAGTGAATATGACGGTATAGGCCTCGGCCCGGGCCGGCCGGTGGGCGGACGCACCTTCTGCTGGGCCAGCCTCTGCAGCGACTCCTCGAAGTGCTTGTGCACGGCCCGCTCCGCGGCGAGCTGCGCCTGTATCCTGTCGCGCTCCTCCGAGGCGCACCTCTCTAGCTCCTGCTTTTTCTCCGTGTCCTGCTCCTGAGTCTCACGTGCCTGCAGTTCCCGCTCCCTGAGCTCCCTCTGCTGGTTCTGCTGGTGTTGCTGCTGCTGCTGCTGCTGTTGGTGTTGCTGCTGCTGCTGGTGTTGCTGCTCGCGGTGCGCGTCCGTCCGGGCGGCCGCCTCGCGCTGCTGCTCCTTGCGGGCCTTCTCCTCGCGCTCGCGGTGTTCTCTGCGGAAACAATTTGGGTCAAGGTCATCCGAACGCAACGCAAGACAAGGGGGACTGATGCTGACGCTGCTGCTGATGCCTATCGGCCCAGATAAAGTTCCAGCCTCCCCCCCCCTCTAAATTTACATAACATGTGACAGTCTGCTCGATAAAAAGCACACAAAACAGGAGGGTGGATATAACACCAAAGAGAAATGACATAGTCACACCCATTTCTAATAAGATCGTTTACATGGAATGTCGCCGCATGTCAGTGGGGTCGGGCTTCAGTTCACACCAGCTGTACTGTATCTAGTAAAGTGAAAAACAAAAGCAGCCGCACTCACTCGCGCGTGTCAGGCGGCTGATTCGATTTTCACAGTGGCAGCTGGTGTGAGCGTTCTCAGCCGCGCAGCTTCTGGTTAGACTGTACCGCGCGCAGGCGTGCAGACGGGTTGCATGCTCGCACGGGGCCATGAGGCGCGGCCTACTCGTTGAGACCGTTGCGCGCAATGGTCAGGGACATTAGGCGAACCTAGCGAACCTGCGTGTGTGCGCCACGAACCTTCTAGTGCTACAAATGCGCACTCGGAAAATGCCGGGCTCTTTGGTCCCAGGAAATTTTGACCTAAATAGAGGTTAATGAAACTTTTGCCTTAAATTCAAGGAAAACTTCCGCGGCCATTGTTCCTCGAGTGAACGAAAATCTCTTCGAATTAAAAAGTTCCTCTACCTCAAATTTCCTAGAATCAAAATAAACCGTTCGTTGTCTGTGAGTGGGCGGGCCGAATCGGCCGCCTGGTACACACGATAAGAAAATTATGGAGAGCGGATGATGTTACGTCAACATTTTCTCGGGCATCATTTTTCAAAGATGTACTGCCACTTTTTGCAGTGCAAGGTGCGGATCGCGTGCTGGCATCGGCGGTCGGCCTCCTCCCGCCGCACCCTGCGCTGCAGTCCCGCTCCTGACCACACGCACGCACTGCCGCGCGCCGCCGCCGCGCCTCCTCCTGCCCGACCGACCGGTGCTGCCCCCTGGCGAGAGCTCGGAGCGGCAGCAGTCGGCAGACCGGTTGGGCGTGGCGTGGCGCGGCGTGGCGTGGCGTGGCGTGGCGTGGCGCGGCGTGGCGTGGCGCCAGGGCTGCGCTCCGCCTCTCCACACGATCGCACGGACCCGCTCGGCAGGAACGTTTATCCCGCTTGACTGGATCCCCCTCCCCTCCCCCTCCTCCCCGTCACTCCGCTACGCGGCCCAGTTTTTGCGGTGCGCAACCAAACCATGAGACACATTCGACGCGGATCGGGGAGGGGCGGGGAGGGGGCGAACAGGGAAGAAAACTGGACAGTTACGTTTCACAGTCCAGAACCACGCGACCACATTCAAATAAGCTATTATTTCTCCCACGACTCGACGCGCAAAGACATCGTCGTCTTGCACGTGTTTCGTTATCTCGCGGAGAGTCAACTAAAACTGCACGCGGTAAAAGTTAATACTGCTCGGTTGGTTTCCAAGCAGAAGTGGTAGTTTCCAACGCCGTTCGCTCGTTGACGCGCGCGCGCGCACACACACACACACAGACAAGAGAGTCACCCGCATCACGCTACACCGGCTCCGCCCCGCCCCGCAGCTTCGGCACACAAACACACAACAAACACACGCGTTCCCAGAGCAAAGTTCGCGAGATGAGATCGCATGCCAATGACGACGCAGCGCAGCGCCCGCGCCCGCCCAACTCGCTCGCGGGCTCGTCACCCGACGGCACTCGACGGCCTGCGAGGGACAGACTTCAACTTCAATGAACAAATACCGTCTGGGTCGCAGCCATGCACCGCCGCAGCGCGCGCAGCCGGCAAAGGCTCGTCTACAGTGGGGGGCGTGGAGCGCGGGCGTGGATAGATGGATATACACTGGGAAAACTGCTGTGACGTGCATCACGTTTCCTGATGCACTCTCGGACGAGAACGTTCCTTGATGCACTTTACTCTATATGTAAATGAATAGGGGGGCATCACAAGGGGAGTGCATCATAGGAAACGTTCTCTTCTGAGAGTGCGTCAAAGAAACGTGACGCACGTGACGTTAGTTTTTCCAGTGTATCGTGGGTGACTTATGCGAGACCGTTATATGTCAACTTAGCTCATTGAGGAACGAAAACAGAACGGGGAAACCTGCGAAAACCCTGCACAGCAAGAGCCTAATATTTAAAGAGATAACGCGTGTTAGTTTGATGTAACACTGCAGGTTCCATATCATCCGTTACAATCTACTTACGTTACATGCCAATCGAACTTTACGTTACAAGTTACGTAACGCAGCGTGAAACGTAAGAAATTCAACGAAATCTTGGTTAAGTTACCGGTCCCTGAGGCACTTCCGCCGAGCCACGCCGGGCTTGACCACAGACAGTGACGCTGACTGAAGCGGTGTGTATTTAGTACGTATTGCGTTGCGCTCGGAGGGCCGGAGGGTGGAGTAGGAGACAAACATTTGCAGAGCACGCGCGCTTTCTCTCTCTCTCTCTCTCATGAACAATCAGGCCCAGCCCTCGACGCCTGACAACGCGAGGATAGGGCAACCAGTGCAAGCACTACGATGGCTACCGCTTTGCCCAACCGCAGGCGCCCAGACTTGTCAAGCTCCCGTATGACAACTTAAGGTTTAAAAATGTGTACGGAGCTTGAACGTAGCCCGAGGTCATGTGGCGCCATGTGCACCCGAATGCACCCCCCCATATGCTCCAAAAATACCTTACAAGCGTGGTTCACAGGCAGATGAGATGTGCGACAAGGAGGACTCTGATATGCAAAGAACGCCCTGGGCAGTTCTGACACTCAGTGACATACAGTAGGCTATTTCTGGATAAACAGATGGTGTCACGGACGCCGCTCTGCTTCGTGCATCTGGCAGATGGCAGATTTTCAGCCTGATTCTCTTTAGACCTATACAGGTTAGAGTTAGTACCAGCTCAACCCGGCGTGACAGTTTCTCATGTGCAGATCCTATATCCTAGCACGACTGGTGTTTTCGTTTCTCTACTATGCAGTTTTTCGAAATAGCCTACAGGAGAGAGCAAGTCTACATGATTCAGGAACAGCTTTGGAACAGGCTTTGGCAAGCGAGGGTTTAGAATCAAATCGAACCTTTTCACTCCCTGAAGGTTGAGCGTTAAAGATAAGCTACTCACGAAAGTTTGTCCAGTGGTCCAGTGGTGCGTTCCTCGACCGAGTCAAGCATCACCCAGACTGAACGAAAACGGGAATATAAATGAGGCTTCTGACATCATGAACCCGACTAAGATCCGCACATTTGTTAGTCCTCCAGGAGGACACTGCGCACCCAGAAAATATTGGTTGTAGCGACCATCGTATTGATAATCCAGGGAGCACCACGAAATATGGTTAATGCAAAATTATCGTACTCCCGCGTACTCTGTATACTTGCACTCCGATGTATACCAAAATTCGAGTCGTCCACCCCTCTAACGCAGGCGCCAGCGCTTCAGGCAGCCCTGGATAGCCTACCGGACCCTTGTAAAGTGCGTAACCGTACTGCTTATGACGTCGACAAAACAATGCAATAGTTCAGAAATTGCATAGTTCAGAAATTGCATAGCCAGTTCTTAAATTTTGTCGTCCTTGAAAATATTTTTTTTTAAGTATTACCCCCACTGATGATTCATGCACACAATTTTACGGGTGTAACCCATTTATGGAAGGGCCCCAAATAAATAAATTGGATGATGAACGAGTGGATGGATAAAGGGTCCAGCGAACTGGCTCGAGCTCAGCCCAGCTGTCAACCGCGGGAGCGAGCGAGGGAGTGGGGGAGGGGGGTAGGACAAACATCACGAATAAATCAGAAGATGACACTCTCTGTGACAGGCCACTGGCCCCGACGCTGACGTCACCGGAGACCAATCAGTGCGCAAGAGGAAGAGCGGCCGCTGTCGCTGTGTATATATATTTTTATTCTTTACGTTCCCGTTTCGGTTTCGTTTCCGCGCGGAATCCCCTCGCCTATTGTTTCGATGTTTATAGCAAAGGACGGCGGTCAGTGCAAAACCGGTTCGTTATGGCAGCGATATTAGAACCCAGCAAAAATTAAAAATGCGTTATAATGTGCATAGGAAAATATGTAGTTCTATATTGCAGGAGGAACGACTAGAAACCACTAGAGCGATTTTTTCAGAAAAACGTATTCATCACACTCTAAACCTCAAGGAACTTTTTATCAAGGATAAACTTGGCCATTATATGGTGGATTCTTAAGCACACGTAAAGCGTGTAAAGCTGCATCATGTAAGTGACACATTTGCATCTTGTCGACATATGAAAATCAGAGCTGTCTATGAAAGAAATGCATATTTGTCACTCGCCGAATGCAAAACTCAAGATGTGCTTAAAATTCCATCTTTAGGTGGACAAAAACAACACTGTTAGAAGCTTACCGTGATTTTCACCGTAAGCTACGGCGAAAGCCTGCAGCACCGTAGCTTACGGTGAATTTCACTGTAAGCTAAATCTCACCGTAAGCTACGGTCAATCTCACCGTAAGCTACAGTGCTGCGGGCTTCCACTGTAGCCCATGGTGAAAATCACTGTAAGCTTTTAACAGTGAAAATTATTCCCTTCACATTTAGTGTGCAAATAAAAATCCCCCCGGCTCAGCAGACGCAGCACCTGCCCGACCAGAACCGCTCACGCAGACGCGCCACGCCGCAGCGGAGCCGAGCAGACGTGGGAGATCCAGATAAGAGAGAGATGAGATGAACAATGGGCTAACGCGGAAGACGGCTGCGGGGAAGTGAAGGGGGGGAGGGGGGGGCATCAGCCCGCAGCCAACCGAGCAGTCACGCACTCAGACGAGCGGGTGCCTCCCCCCTCCCCTCCTCCACACCGGCCCCGGGGGAACTCCCCCCCTCCCTCCCCGCCGCCCGATGCGAGCCAAGGTCGGCGGTGCGGTACAGTCGCGGCCAAGAGTGCGGGCGCGCGACCAAAGGAGTGGCCGCGGCGTGAACCAGGCGGAACCAGGCCACTCTGAAGCGGTACAGCCCCGGCCAAGAGGGGCGGCCGCGCGAACCAGACGACCCGACCCAGTGCACGCACACACTGAGGCGCGAGACCTTGGCCACCAGCGCCTAACGGTGCCGCAAGTGCCCCTGTACAAAACCGATCAGAACAGGGCGGGAAAAGGGAGGTGTTACATTCCGGTTTGAGTTATTTTAAGTGCGTAGCCAGGATCTCATTCAGGGGTAGGGCATTTGGCTCTACCTGCAGGCGCGAATACTTGTCGTGAAAGTGCGACTTTCGATTTTCCCCATAAAACCCTGGAAAACGACGGCAGTTTTTCCGGGAATTTTAAAGAACAGTCCCCGCCGCCACACCACAGTTGTCAGAGAGGCGCGCTACGCGCTACCACCGAGGCACCATATGGTGGCAAGGCGATTCACCGCCAACGTTTCCTGACGCTTTCACTCAATTTAGCCCCAAATCCTGACATTATACCCTGAAATCATCTTAGGCGTTGGCAACGCTTTGCGAGCCCAAACTCCGTGACGTGCAACGCGAGGGCGGACTGTACCCACTCTGCAGACCGCGGGGGACGGCGCGGGGTCAAGGGTCACCGTGTCGAGGCGGACCGGGCGAGGCGAGGGCCCTTTTTGTCCCGATACACCGCCGACACAAGGCACGGTAAAAGTCAATATTGTTTATCGGTTCCAGGGCGGATATGGGCGGACGGATGGCAATTTCCCGGCCGCCATGCGGGCTCTGCTCTCGGCTCTGCTTTGCCGGGAAAAAACAAAGGTGTTTGATCGCATCTTTGAAAGGTGCTACGGGACGGGTGCAGTGCCTTGACAAGGCACTAAACCTGCCAAACGCACGATTTATAAAGCGCCCATTCGGTTCTTTGGTGCCTTTAAATAGAGGCATAAAACTCAGAATTTCTTTAGCAGCCCTACTTGAGTGCGACTTAACGCCTTTGATCTCCCAGCGTCCGCGTAACTACTTGGGCGGCGCGGGTCTCAAGCTCGCCAGGCTGGCAGTGGCTGGTATTGCGCAAGCTCGGAGCCCGCTCACTCACTTCCCCGGCGAGACTTGTTGTTGGCGGTGTCCCCCCCCAGCTCGCCGGCTCGCCGTCGTGTCCCACGGGGGGCCCGCGTCGCCCACAGGGACAGTGTTCCCGACGGGGCTCCTGACGGGCTCCCTGACGGTCTCCCTGACGGCGCAAGGACAGGCCCCAGATTGGCTGTTAACGCCAGCGGACGCCCCGATCACGCGCGCCGAGCCGGGCCGTTCACACCGTCACAATCGCGCCACATCGGGCCGCCTCGTCCGCACCACACCGTCCTTATCGCCCGGTAAAACCCTTCCGCAATCGCGAGGCGCGAGGTCGTCGCCGTGGCATCTCCCCCATCTGAGATAACCCCTCTGACCGGCGCCTCGCCCCGCCCCGCACGGGCAGGGCGACGCGAAGAACAAGTTACGTATTTACATTTTTTTTTCTGCCGTATTTTTGATTGACTGACGTATTTTTGATCCATTCACTACGGTATTTTTTAATTTTTTTCTGAACAAAAGTATGACTTATCGTTCGCAATTTTCGGGGAGAAAGTTTTTTGTATGGAAACAGTTTTTTTAAAAAAAATTATTTGTAGTCTTTTTCGCGCTGAAAATGTTGAGCTCAAGTTCACACGCCCTATTGTGAGGGGCAGGCGGACAACGGTTGGGGAACCATGACGGCGACATCCACGATAAACAAAATTAAAAGCATACTTACAAATCAGGGCCGGGCAGGCAGAGAGATAATCCAAAAGAAACGGGCAACACTCACTTTCACTATAGCATCATCATCATCATCAGCAGCAGCATCACTTTCTCACTACACTACACTACAGCACTAGACACTTCACTACACTGGTAATCCAAGGGTAGTATCCAGGCGGCGGGGTGCGGGCTGGCGTTCTCACCTGGCGAGTCGGTCGTAGGCGGCGAGGTCGGGCTGGCCGAGCATCGGGAAGCCGCGGGCCGCCTTCCAGAGCGCGTCGGCGGGCAGCCCCTGGAGGTGCTGGTAGGCTAGTCCCGGGGGCAGCCCGAGGGCGGCGGAGGCGGGGCCCGGGGGCGGCGCGTGCTGGGGCGGGGGCGGCGGGCCGTGGGGCGCCGGCGCCCCGTGACCGCCCCGAGCGGCGGCCGACATGAGCAGCGACTGGTGCTGCACGCTGTGCACGTGACGGATGTCCACGTGCGGGGTGGGGTCCCTCCACACGCCGTGCTGGCCGTGCTGGCCGTGCTGGCCGCCGTGCTGACCGTGTTGGCCGCCGTGCTGGCCGTGCTGGCCCGGCGGCGGCGCGCGGTCCGTCATGCCGTGCGGCGGCCTGCCCGGCGCGTGGCCCGGGCCGTGGCCCGGCCCATGACCCTGGCCGGGGAGGCCCTGGCCGGGCAGGCCATGGACGGGGACGCCCGCCGTGGTGGAGGCGGCCTCGTCGGCGCTGGACCGGGAGCCTGAGCGCTCCTCGCTGCTAGAGCAGCGGAGCGATCCTACCCCCGAGTCTGAGCGGTCGTCTCTGAGCAGCGCCCCTCCGGGACACTCCATCCTGCTTGCGCTGTCATCCTCGACGAGTTCTTCGCTGGGGCAGCGCACTAGGCGCGGTTCATCCTCGTCCTCCTCGTCGGCGTCCTGCGCAGTGTCCTGGGCAGGATCCTGGGCCGCGTCCTGGACACGGGTGAGGTCCAGCGGCGCCGGGGGGCTAGGCTTCTTCTCCGCCGGCTTCTTTGGCGAAGCTGGAGTTTCCGCTTTTACTTCCGGCTGCTGCTCCGGTTTTGTTTCCGGCGCAGGCACTGGGGTAGCTGGCTTTGGAGGCGGGGTCTTTTCTTTGACTTCCGGTTTTACAGACGGTATCGGTACTGGAGTGACTTCCGGACTCTTGGTGCACTCCTCAAGCTTGACTTGAACCGGTGTTCCAGGTTCGGAGGGTTTAGGCTGCTCGACGGCGGGCTCTGTGGTTTGAGCCTTGGTCAAGCTTGGCTTTTCTACTACTTCCTTCTCTTCTTTAGGCTCGGACTTGTTCTCCGGTTCGGGGCTGTCGACCCTGCTCTTCTTTGACTTATGACTTCCCTCTTTCTTCTTTTTCTTTTTGCTTTTCTTCTTTTTCCTCTTCTCCTTCCTCTCTAGATCGTCGTCGCTCTCTGCCTCCTTGCCGTTGGGCGAGGGGTGCTTTGACGCGGGTGACTTGGGTGTCGCCGCGTCTCCCTTGTCTACTTCCGGCCGGTCTGTCTTTTCCGGCGCGGGCTTCTCGTCGGGCTTGCGGACCGACGGGAAGGGCTCGGTGGGCGTGGGCGAGGTGGGCGAGCCGTTGGGCTGCTTGTCCTCCTCCGGCACGAGCGGCTTCGGGGTGGTGCACCACTCGCGGTCAGAAGGCTCGTCGTCCGACGGCAGCCGCACGTAGTACTCGAGCTCGTGGTCAAGCTCGAGGTCGTCGTCGTTGTTGTTGAGGACGCCGGGCGGCGGCTGGCTGGGGGCCGGTAGTGTCAGCCGTAGCAGGGGCTCCTCGTCCGAGTCTGACGACGGGCTCCTGGCGCGGCGGTGTTGGCGCGGGGCCGCGGGGATGGGGACCAGGAGGCGGTCGAGCGCGACTTGCGCGGCCTGTGCGGCGGCGCGCTGCTCGAGGATGCGGCCCGAGGTGCGCTCACCGCGACGGGGCGGCGGCCGCGGGGGTCGCGGGGTCGCGGTCGCGGAGCGCGGGGCCGGCGACGGCGCGGCAGCGGCTCGCGACGAGCTGCCGTCAGTGTCCTCGGCCGGGTCCTCCGAGAGGAGCTTGGTGGGGGCGGGCCGGCGCGAGGCCTTGGCCGAAGACTTCTTCTTGCTGCCGGCGACGTGCTCGCGGTGGCGGCTCTTGCTGCTGCTGCGAACGGCTGCAACACAAAGCAAAAGGGAAAAAGTCAGTCATCGCCTCGCACAAGCACACCACACATCCGAACAGAACGGGGGGCACACTGTTGAAATGGAATGGAAACTTTAGCGTGCATCCTATCATCCCGTTAGCGTAGAAAAGTTGAGAGTGATTTGTTTGCTCTCCATTTCCGCGTAGGACTTTGACGAAGGTGACCTTTTCGAACATCGAGGTGAACTAAGCACGAAAGCCTCCATTCCGCTTCGCAGTGCACGACACAGCACATCAACGTCATAACGAACTCGGAGCCGAGAGAGAGAGAGGGCGAAAGAGAGACAGAGAGACAGAGAGACAGAGAGCTGAGCGGAGCCGAGAGTGGAGGTAGCCGCTCCAATTAGCACAGGTAGGTAGAATCAAAGGAGTCATCCCGCCGGCGCCCCTCGGGTCCGCGTCACGGGGGAATAATATAGCGAATTCATTTCACCAGCATTCCAGCAATGTATTCACGGGACGCAGACAGACAGAGAGAGAGAGAGTGGGCGAGAAAGACATGGAGAGAGAGAGACGGGGAGGTTGGTGCTAGCTGCCGTCGCGGTGAGACGAGACGTCGCGCAAATGAAATTCCGGCGCACATCTCGACGAGGCAGCGGGGCACACAGGGC